TCTTTCCTCAGCTGTTCTGCACCCAAATCTGCAAATGCACCAGTGATACACCTCACTGTGGCTTTGCTGAGCTGCAGTTCTCATAACGGACAAAAGATATTGCTAAGGTTAACTACGAGGACAGAGAACTTGGCACTCTCCTGCTTGTAAGAGATACTGATGCATTGCCCATCTGATAGCAGACCCTAAGATCCAAGTGGTACGCACATCCTCACACTGCTGAGGATTCAGTCACCTGTAACACTCCAGTATCACCAACCTTGTGTAATGCTGGTGCTAAAAGACATCAGTTTCTCTGAACATGAAGGAGAATCTGACTGTGCAAAGTAAATATTGATCATCATTCACAGACACGTGTGAGAGTCATTGGGCTCAGGACATGTGACCTTACTCTGGAGGGGATGAGCAATTAGTGGTTTTCCCTTGGAAGCCATGTCCAGCATCTGTACCCATGCACGTGTCCGACGTTACACAGAGGCACCTCAAATCAGCTCCTGCAAAGGAGGGCTGCAGCAGACCTGCCAAGTGAGACTTTCCCACTCCTCAGGTCAGCAGGCCGGGCTCGTTGTCTCCCAGCCAGCCTGTTTGCCACAGCTATGCACCGCACACGTGCGTCAAGGGAAACAGCCAGACACGAGTACATTTATTGCCCTTTTCAGAGCCAGCACTGAGCATCCATGAACCTCACAGCATTCCCATGTGCATGCTGCATGGAGGAAACAAATATCCTAAAACCACATGCAGATTCTCAGCACCCGAAGTGCTCTGACAGCAGGAGCACATGTGGGCTCACCTGCAGGCAGCACTCAGAGCCAGGCACAGCTGACAGAGCTGCTCCCATCACCCAGGTGATGCACTGCACAAGATATGGGAGTACGCATATGCATAATACATTAATCCATTTGTCTTTTCAAGCAGTTAACTGAGGAAAACATTCTGAAAAAGAACTGAGAACACCCCCCAGAACTCGTCCCAAACTTGAAGGCTTAAATTTGTTTTGCACAGAGCAACAGTAACACATAAGCTTTGTCACTCTTGTCAGCACAAAGGGCTGGTCACACACAGCCCCCAAATTTATGGCAACTACTCTATCATTCATTGGGACAAAACATTCAGATTCTGAATCCTTTGATTCAACCTTTTGATCTCTACCCAGATTTGTAGCATTGCTGACATGTACACTGCAAACTTTGAACCACATACAGACACCATTCACAAGGAAGCAACATCAGCACCTCCAGCCCTGCGTGCTTTCTGTGAGGCAGCTGCAGCCACCTCAGCTGAGGCACTGCGGATTCAGCTCTGCTTCCTTCAGCCCTTGGCACGTTTTTGTATAAATTGGGGTGGGGGGGAGGAAGAAGGAGAAGCGAATTCCTGAAGCTAATGCAAAACATAGCAGTATCCATAACAGACATTTACATTGTGTGCAGACTGGACAGAGACAGAATTTGCCTTCAAGTTACTTGAGAGCCCTCAAGCTGCAGAAATGGCTGCCTGCGTGGAGCTGCCCAGAGGGAACACTTGTGCCTCAGCAGACAATTCAGAAAAACCCCAAACCTGGACCTCAGTGTCTCCCAAGAATACAGCATTATTAACCAGAAACAAAACACTTTTCAGTACCAGAAAATGCATATCTAAGCTTAATTCACTTGAAAAGAAAGCACTACTGTGAAGGCACAGAGGCGGTGTGCTCTATTAGAGCTCCCAGCAGCCTGCAGTTACCTCGCAGAGGTGGGCCAAGCCACACCAGGGTTAAAGTTCCCCACATGAAAACATGATGGAAATAGAAAGCAGAGGACTCACCCATCCTCATCTGTGCTTGTCTCACATCCACACCAGAGGTTCCCTTCAGACTTCTGCACTGCTCCTACTCCCAGAGCTGGGGGGCCAGGCTGGGGGAGGGCAGGAGCCCTGCAGCCGCTTATCCCCAGGTGCAGGTGCTTTGCTAAACTCCCAGGAAAGGAAATCAGCACTATGCTCTGAAATGGCCCGCAGCTTTGTGCTCCAGCATTCTCTTTGTGCAAAGCTTGGGGAGATCATGTAGAGTCCACTGGGAGTTTGGTACTTAGCCTTTGTGGAGTCTCCTTTGTGTCCCGTGCCTGCTTCATCCTCTGGGATCACGCACCGGCTGCAGTGCAAAGACTTCCAATAACCATCATACTGCAGAGTTTCCCTTTTTTTAAACTGCAAGAGATTTGAGCATCCCCTCTCTGGAGTCAGTCTCTCTCAGCACCTGCCTTACGGCCTGCTCTCAAACGAAGGGAAGAGGAGAGCAGGATGCCATTTCCCAGGGCCAGGCTGCCCACTTCCAACATGGCAGTGTGGCTGTGAGGGGGGCCCTGAGCTCACTGCAAAGGGGACACTGCAGAGTGGTGGAATTTTGTGTTTTAACAACTTTGGAGAAATAATTAACATTAAAACCAAAATGCAGCACAGCACATGGAACACAGGAGGGCACAGTGAGCCACACAGTGCCTGTTGTACTCCAGTGCAGCTCAGCAGAGACGTGTGGTCCCTCTAGCCCTCGCCTGTCTGAGTTGTGCTCACAGCTGCTTCCCCTGAGCACAGTCAGCAGCCCCTGGTGCAGGATCCATGGCCCTTTGCCTTCACCATCTCCCTGCATTTTGTCTGGGAACCAGCTGGGGCTGGCTGCAGTGCAGCATTCATGGCAGGTAAAGCAGATGGAAAGGGTTTTACAGCAGCTGCAGGCACCTTCTGAACAGAAATATTGATGTAGCAGGTAGATACAAGAAGCCATTGCATCTCAGCAGCAACAGATGTCAGCAGTGTTGCCTCTTTGTTATTACATCATGACTTCAGGTGTGTTTTCACCGTGTCCCCACTTTCCCTGATAGAAAAGTCCATTCCTGGTTTTATGGCTGTGATAAAAGCTTGAAAGTGCTGTTCGCATCTCTGAAAAATTCACACAAAAATGCAATATTGTATGGTGCACACGTATATTTCTGTCTGTGTGTATCTGCATCTTTTCCTTTCCTTGGGGTAAAGCTGAAGTTGTGCACAGAAATAACATTATCTCTGGACACCCACCATGTATTTATCAAAGTCAGGAAGGAAACAGGCCTTTAAATAATGAACCAATATAAATACAATAACAATATATGTACAAATACACAGAGCTTTCACTTACATATCTATTCTCATACTTCTTGTGCTTTGATCATTCTCCATTAGGCTTTTAATCCCTCAGTTTAAAGAAGGTCTCAGAATTCTGATGGAAGATTCTTGGAGAATCTGTGGATCTTGCATGGAAGGGCTGTAATTAGGAATAGCTTGATAGGCAGGCATGTGACCAGCACGTAAGTCACTTCCCTGAGTTATAGCATAAAACACACACTGATCTCCTTCAAACAAACCTAGCCAGAGCTGCATAACTTCTGAGACATTAAGGGAAATGAGGGAGGAGTGAAGAGGTAACAGATTAGAGATACACTTTTAAACCTTTCAGTGGAGCATTTCAGCGTAATTTCTGTTTCAGTTTGGATTATTGCAGATTCCAGTGCTGGAATATCCAGCTCATAGCTCTGAAGAGAAATCCAGAGACCTAGAGAAAAATCTGAGTGAGGTGTGAAGAATGAGCATTAGGTTGCAGTGTCCGGAAGTAGTTGTACTCACGATGTAAGATTTCTGCTGTTGTAAGCCTGGTATAGTTGTGATGCATTCCTGTTGCCAAAGATGAGAACAGAATTTGGCCTTTGCAGTGATTGCAGGGGAATTAGAAAAGGATAAGGAGTGGCATTCGTATTCTGTGCTGTTGGTCTTATAACATATGAACACAGAGCTGAATACAAAGGTGTATTTGGTCAGGCTCAGGAAACAAGGAGAAATTTGAATTAGATGCTTGCTCTTTATCAGTTCCCTCTTTTTTTTTTTTTTTTTTTTTTTTTTTTTTTCATTTCCTTTATATTTGGTAAAATACAGATCTTGGTATAGCATTACTTTATCATCATTCCTTTATTTCCCGTGCACAGTTAAGGGATAATTACTGCAACCGTGGTTTGCAGTGTGGTCCCTGCTGTATTGCTTTGTCTGTAACTTCAGTCTCTGGCTTGGTAACACCTGCCACAGAGGAGACAATGAGAATCCCTGATGCTGCCAGAGCACAGATCAGGAAGCATCGTAAACTGCTTCTGATCTGTTTGCTGGATTATTGCTTGAACGCTGGCAAATGCAAATGCAGTATGTATCTGTCTGCCTAGGGGAGGGGTTCCATTACCTGAGATTCTCTGCAGATATTGGCAGTGTCTCGTGGGGAAATCTCATTTACTATGCAGAACAAAATCGCTATGGCACTGATCATATGATTTGAAGACTCAATCCTGAAGCAGCACTACAGAAAGGGGAGGTGAAACTGCACAAGACACTCCGTTCAGACAGCATGAGGCAGTGAGCAGCACACGAATTTTATTCAGTAGGCAGGAGGAGAGCTGCTGGATTGGTCTGTTAGATGTGTAGTCAGGAAACCACAGGAAAGCTTTATTTCTGGCAAGTCTGCATTTGTCAGAATGCATCACTGGTGTTACTAGAAAAAAAGGAAGTCCGCTGCTACAGAGATTAAAAGGTAGAAGCAGCAACAGCTACAGAAGATGACTGTGAAACTCCTTTGAAAACCACCTTAACCCTCTCTCTCAAGAGTGAATTTAACCGTTGGAGGGCACTGATTCCATCTGACTGTCTGGAAAGTGTGGTGAAAAGGATGCATGTTATGAGGAAGCATTCCACCAACAGCAGTGCAAACTAGAGGAGAACTTCTACCTGCATTGCTGACACTTGGCAAAAAATTATACAAGAAGGCTTTCTGGCACCAGAATTTTGGGTTTGGGATTTTCTTTTTCTTTTCTCCTTCAGTCCTGGAGAAGGATTTCGTGTTCTCCTCCTACCCATAAACACACACAAGGAAAACACAAACCAGAACTTGGAATCCTGCAGACTTTCCAAAGAACAGGCATGGTACAAAATGTCATTTTGGTGTTTTTCCGCAGGCGACTCAGCCAAAGACCTGCTGTTGAGGAGCTAGAAAGAAGAAATATACTTAAACGTGAGTACTTTCTTCTTAAAATATTTTATATATTTGCTGAAATCAGCAATTATATCTGTGAAACATATTCTTTTCACATATTAATTTACCGGGATTATTTTCTGTACCTAAAAGTTTTCATGTTTAACATGCTCTGTGTTTCAAATATTACAGAAATGAGAATTCACACTTTGCTAAATGAGAATTTACACATGCAATTTAGCACAGAAAAGAGAGACTTGCTTAAATTCCAGCTTTGAAATAATGTATATTGTGAACACACTGCTATGGGTGTCTGAGAGGGGAGTAGCATCCAGGCATCACACAGTCAATGACACACAGACTGCCATTTTTGAAGCCATTGACTGTCTTGGCTGAAGGGGAGTGGACAAAGCATCCTTGCAGAGGTGTGAGGACATTTCCAAAGACGAGTCAGAGAACTACCATTCTGAGATATTAACAATTATAGAGGGAGAATTCCAGGCCTATTATAAATACTGCTACAGGAGAATGTTGCTCAATGTCTTTCAAATAAACACAGGGCAGAAACTCAAAACTCTTTTCCTAAAGATTGGTGTTGCAGCCAAGGGATCAAACAGGTGATAGATGCTTTGGGAATCCTCTGATCTAGATGGAGAAAGAGCTCTGAAATTCTCTCTGTGATGGGGTCTGAGATAGGAGAATGAGAGAAGCTACCTGCTAGAAGGAAAGGAATATTGCTTCTGTTATTTTTATGGTTTAGTTAGTGTTGAAAGTAAAAAGCAAACAAACGGCACAACACCCTGATAGCAGAATGATGGAATGATGCGATAATGGTTTGATTCTCATTAAACATGAATAAAACATCTATATGGCCACATGTAGTATGACTGTGTGGTGTATGTCATAGAAACAATGTTGCCTTTGGTATTTAATTCATATTTTATTTTCAATGTGATTGCAGTTCTTAAGAAAAAAAAGTTACCCACATTTTGTTACCTAAAATTCAATGTCTCGGAACTTTCCTAGTTTAAAGAAAAAACTTATGCAGTTGCTATTGAAGTTATTGTAGATTTTATTTCACTTTTGACATAAAGGGATTCCACGGTCACCTTGTATTTTCAGTACTCTTCCAGAGCATACACTGTGCATGCTTAAATTGGATGCAAATGTACATAGCTAAATGAGAAACAGGGTGCATTCTTTGAAAATGTGAATGGGTGAACTTGGCCTAAATTTACCTGTCAGCTACACAAGAGATGAGAAAAAAAACATGAACGCAAGATTCTGAAATGTGGAACCAGATTCTCAAGAGTCAGTGCCTCAGATCCCCTTTAAGATCTGTTTTTAGGTGATTTTTCTTTTCATTTATTTAGTTCCTTAAGGCAGGGCTGATCTTTATCAAAAAAATCTTTCCTTTATGTTTAGTTTTTGAAGAATGCTGGTTACATCCTTAATCTGGGTTAAACTGACAAGCTTTGATAATAAAAGTTTGAATACATTCATATAATGAGCTTAGAGAGAGATAAAGCAGAAAGAAGATAAAGCAGAATTAAAGATATTTCCTGAATGCTGGCTAAACATACTGGTCTAGATTTGTATCTCATTTAAAGGAGCTCCTGACATGAAGCAAATCCATTGACTTCAGTTCATTTGCTCAGGCTTTATACAGATTTTTCTGTGATCAGTCACTTCTATTCCAGTTACCTGTTCCATTATATAAAAAGTTAAGAACCTGTCAAGAACTGAAGTTATCACTAAGCTGTGACAGCAGTAATCTTAAAGGCTGGATAGATACAACAACTCTAGGCTCAGTTGTGAGTGAATGTGGAAATTTGCAAACTTTCCTGATAGTAGTGTGAATATAGAAATTCTTGTCATGGTTTTTAAACACCTGGTCTGACGTGCAAAGATGTAGCAACATAAATACTCTTCAGTGAAATCACTACAGCATCCTGCAGTTTGTAAGGGTTTGTACAGTTGACTCATGAGTTTCCTAGCATCTCTTAGCAACACACTCTGCTAAGGAAAATGTAAAGCCAAGACTTTCTTACAATTTTGCTGAACTTCTACATCCTTTGCTTTAATTATAGAAATATTGCTGGTTTACCATCACAACTAAAATCAAGACCCAGGTGTTTACATGTTCTTGGACTCAGCAGAGAGCTGACACTGATATTCAAGAACGCAGCATCTCTTAAATCCCCAGTTCATTCTTATCACCGGGAATTGTTTCAGTGTTATGCACAGCTAAGAATTGCCCAAATAACTCACAGAGCAGAAAAAGTGAATTACAGTACGACACGTGTCACTTCATAATTGGGAGAATCTCCCTGCTGAGATTTATAAAGTCAGCCCTCCCTAATGAGTGTAGCTATGTGTGGGCAGAGTGATGCTGATAGGGAAAACCTCTCTGGTTTGTCTCTGTAATAATGCTTGAATTTTGTATTGCCTTTGCTAGCAGTTCCTATCTTATCTTGCTTTGTATTTTCCAGATGAATTATTTCTCATGTTTTCACATTTGGCATTTTCTTGGAGCTGGGAATAAGCACTGAGCATGTCTGAATGTATCACAGGAAAGGGTCACTATCTAATATTTTGCATATTCAAATGTGAAAATGAATTTTCCAGTCAGAAATTTATATTTTTTATTTTGGAATTCTCTCAGTGCATCTCTGACTGTGATATGTTAAAAGGCACCATACCACAGAAAATTATTGTCTTTTAGTAGAAATATCTAGATATGAAAATATATATATATATATAATATATATATAATACTCTAAAATGAGTGAATTAAAGTGTAGTTAAGCATATTAATAAATCCTTGCAAAAATTTCTGTATCTGAGAATACAGTCTAGTTTTTAAGGCATTCTCCTCTCAGACATTTCACTTAAACCGGTTCTAGTCCCTGAGACAGCACTAATTTTGGTTGCTCTAGTCGCTTTTTATTGCCTTGCCACTGAATTTTAATATGGCATGTTACAATATTTTATATTCATATGATTTACATTTCTGCTACAGCCAGTTGTGGCTGTGCACTGCTACGTTACTCTGTGCTGATACTTATGCTGGCATTTCATTGTAATCAAATGAGCTTAAAAATACAGAATCCTTCATTACAAAAAATATCATTTTGGAAACTCATCTGCACTGCTCGTGTCTTTTTAAGGCAAGTTAAAGCACACACATTATTTTTAATACTGGGAGTATAATAAACTAGAGAATCCCAGAGTGGTTAAACGTTTTTCTCTAGGTCTCCAGCTTTGTTCAGGTCACAGGCTCGTGCCTCAGTTTAGTAACAGATAGTACTGGAAATAGAAATGCCATTACCTCGTATCCCAAGGCAAAGGATATATTTCACACAGTGTTACAGCACTCCACTCTATTTTTAGACCCAGTGTGTAGGAGTTGTCACGGCTTGAATGCTAATAGGCACAACACACAAAAGCTAGCTGGCTTAGGTTAGAATGGAATGCTACAAAAGAAAACTTGTGAGGATAAAGAGGTTCGGATATTAGTGGCACAGACAAAAAGCATGCAAGTCAAAGATAGCTACTGTGCCAGTGTGACCATCTAAAGATGTAGCCTGAGAATTAAGGTTATACAGGGCAGAACATTACTTTCCCTGAAGCTCCTGCAGTAAGTCTTTTCAGCATCTACTGCAACATAATGGCTCCAGCAAAGCAGAGAATACAAAAAAATGATGATTAACTATGGAATGTTTTGATTTTATTTCTCAAGTTCATGCAATTTGAGAGTTGGTGTGGCTGCTTAAATCTAAATGTTGGCTTATGAAATCAGAACTCAGTTCAGAGCTCAGGAAAAGCTGTCATTGGCACCAGTACCTTGTCCTCACAGAGAGGTGACTGTACCTTCTAGTAGAGAACCAGAGGCGTACAGAACTAAGAAAACGGACAGCTAAGAGCCAGCTTCTAATTTTTATGTGATGTAATTCTTATTGCTTTGGAAACTACTGTTCTTCCTCATGAAGAAAATCATCCTTTTTCTTTTTATATTCTCTGTAGAACGAAACGATCAAACTGAGCAGGAAGAAAGAAGGGAAATCAAACAAAGACTGACAAGAAAGGTAAAATCTTGCAATACCATCCATTAGATTTTAGAAAGCTAGTAAAACACTGAACTGTCACCTAGGTCACTATTACACTGTACTTTCTCCTCAGCAGTGCCTGAGATAGTGGTATCTAATATATGAATATCTACCATGTCTCAGCTATGAGAATTGATAGAATATTTACATAGAAATTTTAAATGAAAAAGTAGTATTTGCTTGTACTCTGCGTATTTCACAACTATGCTGCTATAAAAGCAGTACTTCGTTCTTTGTAGCAGAGCTGGACTGGCTCCCTGCTGAGCACCAGAAGTGCTCCCACAGTATGTTTCTCTTTGCATTTTAAGGTGTTCTGAGATCTTGTTATTCTGTTCCCAGGAAACCCTTTTGGAGCTATAAGCCAAATATGCCAATAACCTGTTATATCCAAACTGGTCTGATCCTGAAAGCCTTGCACAATCTGCTGCTGAATGCAATAGAGAAACCCTACATTATACATGTAACAAATTCATTGTGATTCCTTTGCCTGTTCTAAATTTATGCAATTTATAAATTTCAAGGTCAAAATATTTTCATCTTTTCTCCATTATAAAGCCACTGTAGCCCACACCTCAACTCAAACAATTATTACTCCCATAACAATAGTCTAAAGAACTTAATGGCTCCATGGAATTTCCAAGGTGTTTTTATTCAGACACATAAATGCACACTAAGCTAAGATGGCAAGCAGAAAATATTGCACAGTTTCTTGAAATGTTGGTTACTAATATTGGCTCTATTTTACAAAACTATTTAATGCAGCTTAACCAGAGACCTACAGTAGATGAACTAAGAGACAGAAAGATCCTGATTCGATTCAGTGATTATGTAGAAGTGGCAAAAGCACAGGACTATGACAGACGAGCAGATAAACCATGGACAAGACTATCAGCAGCCGATAAGGTACTGACATAATTAAAGTATTATTGCTTTCTTCTTGGCTTGTGTAAAAAGCTACGTTGGATTCTGCAAGGACATTTTACCTCTGTAAACATTATGGTTATTTGATATGCTGTAAACACACTGACCAATGTATACTGTCATAAAAAATGCTATTTATAAAAAAATGCTTATTTAGTACTATAAAGGTCAGCTTATCCATTGATGCGGGGAGGGAGGGAAAGGTGGATACAGTCCTTTCTCATGCTTTAGGCTGCAACTCAAAATCACTTCCAGTGAGCACACAATATTAGCATTCATCCTCCAACTGGAAGTTTTTTTCTTAGACATGCAAATGCCCTTTACTATGTTTTGAAACATGCAATATTTCCTCTCCCGTTTCCTGTGAATATCGTGGAGTTGGTTGATCTTTCATTTTCACGAGCATAAACAAGCAATTGTTTCTGCTCCGTCTACCTGCCACATAACTAATTTACACATGAATTTAATTTTCACGTTTAAGTACCTGAGACACAACCAAAAGAGTTCAGCATGATTCCAGCTAGAACAGTTGCTGAATAAGGTGTTCTGAAGTTTCAGGGATGCAGCAAATAGAACAAGTGCAGATGTGAGGATAATTACTGGATAAGATGGCAAATACACGGCCGGATTGCTTACTGCTTTGGTCTGAGCAGCGGAAATCAAATTCTTTCTTCTTCATTCCAGTATTTCCCAAGTAAGAAGTGTAATAAATGGCTTTAGAAGACTTACATAGAAAAGGAACAATATTTTATCTTTTCCTATATTAGCTCTTCTCTAGCAATCCATAAAATCATCAGCAATCTATATAACCTAAATATTCAGCATCCCTACTGGCATAGTATGCCTTGCTGTACACAACACCTATTATTTCTACTTAATGAAACTCATGTTCTGCTTTGTGAGACTGCTATTTTACAGTGCTTACAAGTACAAAATTATTTGTTAACTCTCTTCTATTTTCAATTCCTAGGCAGCAATTCGGAAAGAGCTAAATGAATACAAAAGCAATGAAATGGAAGTACATGCATCAAGTAAACATTTGACAAGGTCAGTCTTCCAGCTGTTTATTTCCATTGCTTGCTAATAAAGGGTACAACAGCAAAAAAAAAAAAACAACCAAAAACCTCAAAAACTTAATATTTAAATGTACTTGAACATGCAACATCATTGCATACTGCTCTGATTCCCCCATTAGCAGGGGAGTAATGCCCACACATAACACATACTAGATTCGGTGTAGAAGATGGAGCCTGTAGATTTGCATCACTTGAACAGCAGTCCAATTGCTACTGGAAGGTGCAGTTCTGAAAAGCACAGTTAGTGGCAGACAAGCAGAAGCAAGACAGAAAACTGGATTGCACTCTTGGCACTGCCCAAGTGGCTGGGCCACTGAGTGTCTGGCAAGTCCTGCCCTTGCCTCATCACAGCACTGTCACAGATTTATGTCTAAACATTCATGAAACCACTGAAGTTTTCCACCAGACAGCAACTGTGAGAGAAGCCATTAAGCTCTATGCAAAAAGACTTTGTTGCTTACAGAAAAATTTAAATAGAAACCAGTTATTTTGTACAATTTTTGCGATGTCTGTTAAGTGAGTCCTATTACTCTTAAAACACACTTTTGGGACTTGCTGATAGCACAGTGTACTTTTGCCAGGTCTGTAAGCGTTCTCTTGCTGCTAAAACAAGTTGCCTAACACTGTACTTAGGAACTTCATGCAGTCCCATTTTCTGGAAGGCACACCAGCATTTCCACTTTTCTGAGCTAGAGTTAATCTGATCTTAATCGAGCTTGGCATGGTCAATGAAAAGACGATCTAGGCAAATACACCAGTCATAATACAATGCACGTTAATCTGAATGTTATGGTGATAGAATTCTAGAGTGTCCATGCAACTCTTAGAGCCCTTTTACACTGCAGAGCTCAGACTCAGTGTATATGGCAGAACACCACTGCATTGACAGAATGGAATACAAGAAAAAATTAGAGGGTGCAGTTAAGACTAGAATTAAAAAATACCTTCTACTAAGTGAGCTACATGGGAAATTTAAGCAGATCACAATGATGCACTTCCAAATTTAGTCAGGATATTTGGAGCAAACAGACTTACAATTTACAATTACTGCTGAAGTATTACAACTGACTGGGACTTCAATTGCACTCAGTTAAGAGAACACACCTACAAAGCAAGAGCATATATATTCCAGACAGTGAGACTATCATGTATTAATCTAACAGTATATCTCCTATTTTCCAAAGCACTAGCCTTATTCTTACAAAATAGTAAGATCATGGCTCAGTAAAGAATGTTACTGGCAATAAAAACTGTGGCCTAATTCCTAAAGGAGAAAAAAACCAAAAACAAGCTCCATGTACATTTTACATTTGCATTTCCTGATAACTGCAGAATGGTTTGGCTGGACCCTGAGAACTGTAACTGCACTGCAGTCATGGCATACATGTGGAAATGTGTCGATGAAAATTAAACTTGCTTACAATTGCTAATATCCTATAATACTGTCAACGTGCCTTTAAAGAGAATGAACATTGATTTTAAAAAAGTTAATAATCTAAACCAGATTTTTTTTAAATTGTATATTTTTTAAATGTTGAAGTAGTTTAAAAATGTCTCTTATTTGTCCTAGATTTCACAGGCCGTAGAAATTTTCTTCTGAGAAGAATCTGCCCTTACTTTTTGATATTGCTGCTGAACACGCGTCAGGGAATCATCTTTCCCTAATGTTCAGTCCTGGGTACCTTGATGTTTATGAGAAAGGAGGACTGCGGATGAAAACTCTGCAGCACTTCAATAAAGAGGGAAACACCAGAGATGTTCTTCACCTTGAAGCCAGAAGAGCAATGGCCTGTTGAATGGGATTAGCTGCTGAAAAAGACTGAAGTAAAACTACTTGAAAGAACCTACTACTCTCCTTTACCACTTGTTTTAAACTGTTTTGCAGTCTATCATGGAAAAGGAGATGTGCATGTACAGGCTTTACCATTCCAAGGCCTCTGACATAATGGACATGACGCACTGTCAGTCAGTATTACGTTGACAAGACATTTTGAACTTACCACAATTAGTTTGTAAAACGCTTAAGTTCATGTTCTAAAAACTAATTTAATGTATTATAATTTCATTCTTTTTTTATATATTGTCTAACAAACACAGCTGCAAGCATTTTTGACTCCTGTTACTTTTGTTCCTTAATTAAATGATTACTTATTGCAGGAAATGAACATGTTTCCTGAAGATGTTTTTTCCCAGGGTCTGTTGGGAAGGGATCTCAGTTATTATGCACTACATCACATCCCTTTTTTATCAACAGGGAATCTTCAAAAAGATCATTTTAGCGAAGGACCTCCATCTTACGTAATAGCAGCATTTTGCACCAGGCCCTTTGCATACCGTATTGTCATTACACAGTAATGGCAGAGAATGACAGATAAGTTCAGTTAGCCTCATTAGATGTTACCAGTTTGCACAACCGCACATAAACAATTGATAGGAAATTGTACTTTCATGCTTAAGAAACAAATTATTGTAATGTTTTTAATAGTAAAAATGTATATATATAGTTTAATGATTTCTTGATAGTAAAAGGAAAGAAGTTACTAACTGATGATAAGCAAATGGAATTGGTTTAGAAAAATATAAAATAATGCTTGACATCTAGAAACATCTGAGAATTCTTCTCAAGGAAAACAAACAAACAAACAAAAGAAAAAATACACTGATACCTGGAAAGGATGCCTTATGGGACAGCAACAAAATGATGCAAACTCCCAAGACAAAAATTTCTCTGCAGGTGTTTTAAATGCTGTCCTTTTAGGAAGTGACTCAACGTCAGAAATCTGAAGAGGGTGCTGTGTTACAGCTTTGTTGAGGTGATCTCCGTGAAGCCACAAAGCATGAAAATAATCAAGAAACTAAAGGTACGTAGAATTGTTTGTATAGACTACTTCTAAATTGCTGCCAGCTAGTAAATAGAAACTGCAAACAGCAGATGGACGTTGGGCCTTTTCAGCTGCTCAGTGTGGGAATGCAAGAATACAAATAGTATTACACTTCAGGTAAACTAACATTTAAGAGCTGAAGGTAAGAACATACAGTGTAACACAAAACACGCATAAGGGCATCCCTAGAAGAAACTGATGAATCATAGGAGATGTCACGCCCTGGACCGATCAAATTGACACAGATAATTCAGCTTGCTCTGTAGCTAGCTGTAGTTTTGTACATCTTTTTAATGTTTGTTTTACTTATCAAAGACTTGAATCACCCAAATACTTGATCCAAAGATTTTTTTTTTCTATTAATTGCAGTTTTTTAACTTGGCTTTTCACAGAAATATGTAAATGACGGTTTAACATACAGTTTATTGTATTTATCAACAATTTTTTATTAATGCAATACTTATTGGTAATTACATTCCAGCTGTAATGTACAAAAAAGGGTTAGAAGGAAGGAGAGAAGTGTCTCATAGGCAGAACCACATCGTTTAGCTTAGGAACTGTTAACTACAGATTTAACCAATAGTCCATGAAAGTAACATGCCTGTTTAGCACCAGTGCAGACAGCGCAGACCTTCACTGATAAAAACATGTAACATACATTCAAAGGATGCTTAAAAAATACAATAAATATTTTAAGGGTATCTTAGTTTTTTTTAATTCCAAACGGTGCCTATGAGCTGTATTACTACTTCCACTTAGCTATCTTGTAGTTGTGCAGCAACATGCTCAAGGTTCTTCCCCACATCCTCAGCTGTCCGTCCATCACAAGCATCCTAACCTTCTTTCTGCTTCGCTCTGGTGAGAGGCATAAAATCATGACTACTTCAGAGCCACACACGATCACTGTCAGCTGACCAATGTCACTCTAGTCTCCTGATGGGCAAATCTAGCAAGTCATTTGGAGACTGCATGTGCTATAGTGCGCTTGCTTCTGTTAGAACTTCAGATATTCTTCACAGAAGGCAGCGTAGCCCAGGGAGGCCATTTTCTCTGTGCTGATCTTTACCCAAAGAAAAAAGGAAGCAGCCCTCCAGCACACAGTTGCTGTCATTTTAGTCTGCTTTGAATGACTTTGGATTTTCCAAGCCACAGACTAAAAGACATTGTGCTTTTGTGAATACTTCATCATGATGCTTTATATTTGTATCTTCGTTGAATTTGATTGTATTTGCTCAATGTTTTTAGAAGTGAATGGGGTTCAGTAAAGACTAGAGGATGGATAGTAAAATTTCATACTTCTATTTCAATAGAAGTCCTTACTAAATATAACATTATTTTTTGCAGTTTGTGTGCAGTGTTAAAAAAAAAAAAAAAAAAAAAAAAACTTGGGCTGTAAAGTGTACTTTTAAAAACCCCGTACAGTTAAGAGAAAATATTTAAAACACAGATTAGATCAGTGAAGAACTCCGCATCTCATGAGGTCCATCTAGTGGGGACGGCAATGATTGCAGGCTTAAAAAAGGTCCAAAATTAGAAAAGTTTTGTGCTGTAATTACGTAGATGGAATGAACAGACCACATTATTTTCTACTTCAATTCTTCCCTGGCAGAACACAGACTCATATGTTTAAAGTTTAATTTATAAGAAGTATTTTTCATTTAAAATGATATATTCACAATAAGCTACTTCCACTCCGTGGTGTAAGAGCACTCACTCTCCATTCTACTCCCAGTGCACGTGGGATGGAAATGTCTCACAGCCATTTCTGACCTAAGAAGTTGCTTTATAAAGAGGGTATTTTTAATAAACATTTTCATGTAAGGTCATAGATTAATTTAAGCTGGAAATGAACCTTTCTGAAGGTCACTGAGTCAAATCCCTTGCTCAAGGCGAGTAAGGCTAGCTTTCCAAATTGCTGAGTTCAAGCTACTCTATATGACTATGGACTTTCCTTAATCCCTAGAAATAAAGACTGCATTGTATTAGTTACCACAGGTGATTTAGAAATCAGTAAGATTTCCCATTTTCTTTGAGGAACTGTCAAAGAGTTTTCTACTTTAACTTTTAGCTTAACACTGAATTTTGAATCGTGTCATTTTTCTCTCTGGAAATAAAGTAAAAACAAGACAGACACTACATTTTTCATGAAATATTTAATATAAATATTTGCAATATAGTTCAACCATAAAATTTTACAGTCATTTTCTTTTAGAAACTCCTACTGAAGTACAATGCCACAAATGAATAGGATTAAATCAGCACATGAGACTGGATCTTTAAATAATTTCTTACTGTATTCTGGATCAGAAAAAAGATGAAAAGTGGTATTCTGTACACAACAACCCAAGAGATAGATTTGAAGTGAAATTTGAAGTGATTTCTCTAAAAGTTCAGTTAAATAACCTATGAAAAATGATAATAAAGACTTCCTCAGAAACAGCATTAGCTAAAAATAAAAAAAATATATATGTATTGTATTTTAGTAGATTCAGTAAAATCCCAATTTTTTCTAATAATGGGATAAGTCTTATGGAGAAGTCGGAGTAAAAAGACTTCAACTTTATTAAGGAAAATATGCTTTCATTACAGTAGTTTCCTTAAGTAAAAAAAAAGTCAAATTTTGTATTGAAAATGAGTGTTTATATTGAGCTTGAATTTCAGGAAAGTACATGGAAGTACTACTTCAGAATTTTCCATCTTCTGCTAGAAATAATGTCTGCAATCCTCTGCGAACATTAATCAGTTCCTCTTCATGCTGTGCAGAAAGCATTACAGTTACCACTTACTTTGAATAAAACCTTTTCTTTTTCTTCCACATTGTAATTCTTGTGTATAGTATCCTGCTTATAAAGTGTCAACATGATACTTTTCCATGTTAACATTCAAAATGCTAAGAGTCAGAAATCAAATAGCATATCCATACTGGCTACTTTTATCACTCACTTAAAATGCTTAAAATATTTAATACCAGTAATACTTAGATTCTCCTTTCCCCCCCCCGATAGGACGATAAATTGCTAAACGCTGTAAAATCTAATGTTCAAACAACTATACTTACATTATCATAAGCAAACAAAAAGGAAGACAAGACAACTTCATTTACCATTTCTTTAAGAAATTTCTCTTGGAGTCCTTTCATGTCTTCTTTCATCAGATGCGCCTATAAAAAGGTACTTATACCAAATGCATTGTCTCTGCTTGCAATTGATAACACATTTTCAGTACGACAATTACATCCCTAAAGGGCTTAAAACTGTAAAATCAAAGGATGTACATCCATCTACTTGCTTAAGAAGAGAGACTGTTTGCATCTACGTTGATCTTTCTTGAATGAGTAACCATGGTGAACAGTCACAGAATACAGCAATCATCTTGCAGTGATTTTACAGATTATTGTAGGCACCTCCTAATGGGTGGAATCTAGCCCTTAAGCACAGAATATTGTTGCATTACAAGTATTTGATGACAGAGGAAAAGCTATGAAAATACCTATGTGGCATTAATGCAATTCTATAAGGAATAAGGAATTTATTTGGAAAAAAAATGAATAATGGTATCTGTTAGCATAATTGAAGAAATAAAAATGATTAAAACCAGAAAAAGAACTGAAAGCTTGTACTACCTCTGAAGTAAAAATACTTTCTTCATAGTCAACACTATGGTGGATGTTCTTTTCAAAGGATGTTTTAAGGATCTGCAGCCTAAAGAAGTATAAGTCAATTAAAATAGATCTGTTATATGTGAACATTTCACAAATATCATGAATACATCTCATTATTTGTAGTCTAATGGCACTTAAATGCGTGAATAAGTCTTAACATCATTATTGCTATTGGAGAACAGTTATGTTTTAATCTCTTCTTCTCATCTCGCCTGTTATCCTTATTTTATGGAAGAGAGCAATTGCATAAAAAAACAGAAGGTAGCTTACTTTTCTTGAATTTACATCAGAAAAGGAATTTTGAAACATCACCAATAAAGCCTACTCACCTCTGTTGCTCATTCTTCATGAACGTACTGAAAGTATGCTTATTTTTTTTCCAAAAAGTCTGGAAAGAAAGATATTAACAGATGACAGCCAACAGTAACTGGTATTTTCTAAACTGGGAATGACTACAATCTAATTTGAATACTATAAACTACAATTATAGGCTCAGCACAGAATGTGAAGTAGGTAAATAGTCACCTTTGAGGCTTTAAAACAAACATTTTTTTTAATTTCACATTACACCATGCAGCAGGCAACTGACCTGTCTCAGAACACACAGCCTGAAATGCAGGCCAACTGAAATAAGGCTCATGAAATGGCATTAACAGCCCATTAGAAGTAGCATGAGTTGTTTGTTCCAGGAAGAAAACCTAATAGTGACAGAAATTCTAACAGCGTAGCATAATCAAATCCTGACATTTCAAATTCATTATTTGAAACTTGATTCATCTACAAGGAAGACAAAGAGGTTTTTTAAAAATCAGAATTAATGATGTAAAGTGAAAGATCTTATAAGTAATCCATAGATTTCACAAGAACTTGTTTTTTATGTGATAAAGTAATTAAAAACAAACCAGTAATTCTTTCTCCATGTTATTCAAGGACTGAGAATCTTTCTCAAAATTCTCAATTTCCTGAAGAATAACAATATGAAATCTGTCCAGCTGCTTGAGCCTATTAAAACAAAACAAACAAACAAAAAAAAAACCAGAAAAGGTTAGAAGGCATTAATTGATTTTTAATTGTTTTAAGATAATTATTTCTTTACAGACCTGCATTCAAGAAGCTGTTGATTCAACGTTGTCAAATGCTGGTTGGCAGCTCTTAATGACTGCTTTGCAAAATGCTCCATTTTCCGTGAACGGCTCTGTAGAGGTATTTTAACATTACTTGCAGATCATTTTCACTTGAAGAAAAAAGCAATAGTATCAAATAAAATAATAGGTTTTTCTCTCCCTTTTTTTTTTTCCTTCCTTTATTTTTTTTATTTTTAAGTTTTTTTTAAGATAGAATTAGAAATACACTACTTGAAAAACAGAATTCCTGAGGATAGAGAAAGCACACATGGAATAAAAACTGCAATCTTGCAGCTGTCTTAGGTGAGCAGATGCATTGTTTTGGCTTGTGTTTTTTTTCCCTTTAACGAATTTCTAAAAGCTCTACAATGCTTTGATTTTTTAATTTCTTTTTTAAGCAAATTTTGTAACGTAAGACAAAACTACAATTCATATGGACATTCAACCACATACATAACTAACACTGTACATAAAATATCTTGCCTCAATTTTCTTAGTGTATTCTTTTTGGAGCTTCTGACATATATCGATTGTTGAACAACCAGGTTCCCAGATGTCCACATCCAAAGCAGCTGGATCACTTACAGATACAGAGGACAAATTTTCATACTCTGTAGTGTTGAAAAACAAAAGATCATACTTCATACATACATCATACTTCAGAGTGAAGTATCCTTTTTAATAGCAACGGGGCTGTTATTAAAAACAGATTAATTTTCCCAAGTAGACAGCTGACCCAGTTCTATTTTCATATCAATTTCTGTCTGTTAAAAAGGAGAGCTTCTAAATATTTTGCGTATTTTTTTGAAACTTAATAGATATTACCATTTTGAAACTTTTATGGATATTATCTTCTTGGATTGAAACTAAGTTACACTATTGTCAAACTTCTCCACAACTATAATCAACTTTCATTTCATAATTAACCTCTGTAAGTAACAGCTTCATCTGTTTTAAATAACTTCCTAGGCTGTAACTTTATTCTTCTGCTTCTTTTCTTTTCCTCCTCTTTGCTTGTTTCTACTTCATCAGAACGGCTTTCTGTATCTCGCTGATACTTTCGTTTGAGAAATACATGTGAAGTCGGCCCTTAAATAAATGTGAAAAAATGTTTCATTTTAGAATTATTTGGAACAATGGGATCAGAAGATGAAAAGTTTGTTGGCCCTCTGGCTCAAAATACAATTAAACCATTAAACAAAAAAAGAGCACTGCATTTATACAGGGCACGTTCAGATGATAATGACCACTTCATGTTCATGAACCAAATTTCAGTGGAATACAGAATTTTTTACTCATGCAAGACTTCTCTCTTATTAAAGAGATTCACTATCAACCCTATATTCCAGATAATACTACTATTGCTCCTCCTCCTCCCCACCGTCCCCCCCATGCACACAGTATCAGTGAGAATGCTTCTTGATCTACTGCCTTCTGAAGAGAACAAGCTCTCTTTACAGTAACTGCATTTTGGAGCCCAAGTTCCAGTTTTTGGAGGGTACTTAAAGCAGAGAAAATAGGGAAAAAAAAAATTGAATGATACTGAAAAACTATAAAGAGAAACATGGCACAACTATTTGAATCTTCTGTGGTGAATAAATGCTTTTCTTAACCAATACAGTCACACAGAAAGCCACAGTCTTTTGCCTTAAATTGAGTGTTTGTACCTGACTCATGTGCAGGGCCATAAGGTTCTTGACTCCGAGACTGTACTTCACTTCCAGTGGACACAGATACTGGAGATAATTCCTAAAAGAAATAAACAATCGTAGGAAAAAGACAAATAAGCAGTGAGAACTAATGGCTACTTGCAATGGTACACAAACATTATTTCCCAACTGAGTCAAAAGCACTTTATTCACCAGGAAAAAAAAAAACATGAGAAATGGGTTGAAGGTGTAGAGTTCTGTTTAATTTGCCAACGCTACAACAGTTGTTATATTAAGTAATACATTACTGTACTGAACTTTCCTACCTCAAGAATTTCTCCATTCAAGTGTCACAATTGTGGAATCTATGAAAGATATTTTATCATTCACACTGAAGCTCAAGATGAAAAAAAATTCATATATTTTTAAGATATTTATATAATTAGCCTTGTTGGAATACAATTCTTTCTTTATAGAGCTCCTTACATTATTTCAAGTATTTAAAAATTGAGTAGTATTGTTGTGGGATGAGTGTTTTTCAAGGAAGTCACAAGTAAGCATTATATCTGGTGCTTAACATTAAGTAAGGAAAATACACTTGATGAGATCTCAGAGAAATGTAAAGTATATAAAACAAGTGAAAAGCAGCAGTTTTTTTCTAAGGAGCACTGAATCTAGTAACATACCTCTCCTTTCTTTTTCATGACAGGTTTAGTAATGTCTTGTTGTTTTCCTTCAATAGAAATTTTGTCTGAAAAGCCACGTCTAAAACTTAAATTTTCATCAGCATCGCATGTTTCAGATACAGATCCCTCTGTGTTTTTTCCACAGTATGCTTTATGTGGGGTTACTGAAGTTAAGTTGAGCTGCACAGTAACAAATAAAAAAAAAACATTACTGAAATGAGATCTCCAAAAGCATTAAGACATGTAGCAGCTGAATGGAATAACTTCAGTTAACATAACTGTAAAGTACCTTTAACGTTCTTACCAAATATGGAGCAGTTAGAACTGGTGAAAAACTTTTCTTTCCAAGTGTTAACTTCGTAACAGTCATTTCAGGAGACTGGTTTAGATGCGTATGTTGAGTATTTTTCTTTTGTAGACAGAGATTACTTGGAGAGATTCCTTTCTCAAAGTCTACTGTTTCGTTTTTTTCTGGTGTTGACTTCTGAAGACCAGGTGACCCCTCACTAGAAGTATGGTCCTGAGTAACACATCCCTCTGATGTTCTCTCAGCACCTAGAGAACAATTTCTTAACTTTCAGCATGAATGAAAGGAAAAAAAAAAAAAAAAAAAAACAACAACCAGCATACTAAAGCCCCATACTGCTGACTGTCCTTAATCTAGGTGTTTACCAGTCACAGATGGGGGAAATTTTACTCCACTTATTGGTATAATTCTTGCCACACGGTGCTTTTTGCATCCCCCACATTATTTTAGCTGTTTAGCAGGTTAATTCTAACAGCCTACTTTCACTTACACAACTATAAAATGTTGGTATCGAACAAGTGTAAAAATCTATAAGAGAGTTAATGACATTAACACATTTCCTTAAATTAAGTAGTATACACACTGATTTAGGAGATCTCATGTTAAAGCCATGAAATAAATGTAAAATTGTAGTACTGTGTCAATCTTCATTTTAACTACCAACACTTGCTGTGGTATTTCTATAAACTAAAATCAAAATGCATACATCTCATTGTCTCTAGAGATGCAGGACTCTCAGGTGAAGACATTTCAATTTCCTCTTGTTCTGTAGAGTTCTTTGATTTAATAAATGCTTTATTTACACAGTTTGCTGCTGTCTTTGGCTCCACCAAATTCTGGAGATCCTTCTGATGATTACCATCTTTGTTTTTCTCATTCACACCTTTCTATTAAAATAATGAGTCAATATAAACATTACTTGTAAACATACAAATAGGTAAAGAGAGAATTATTTTTATGCACAGTTGAACAAACAAAAGATCCAAAAAGGAATATAATTAAGAAGGACATCAGCTGCTCTAATGTCAATATGCACGGAATTAGCATAATTCAGAAGCCAAATTTCTATTCTTACAAAGTTCTGAACCATTACGGACAAATCCTGATGCTTCAGAATTCAACCAAGTCAACAGGCTTTTCCATGTATATTGAAATGCGATGTTAAATGAATGAATTGGTTTTATTTAGCACTCATCACCACTTAATTAAACTCTATTTAGATTCTCAACAAATGTATGGACATAACCCCCCTCTATCAATTCAGTATTTTCTACTGCATGCAGAATTGGCATAGCATTATCAGAATCACATCATCTCAACAGCAACTCCCAGGCTTACTAAAATCTCTCATTTAAAGCATACACATTTTCAAAAAAAGTTTTTTGTGTTGTTAAATAAAGGATACAGCAGCACTTCACAGCTGAATACATTTCATACACAGAAGCTGACATGCTACTGTGACTATTTTGAATGTATTTCCTTAGCAGCTAACTACTCATAATTTAAAAATGACACAACTTGTTCGTACTGGAAACTTAAGATTCAGGAGCACAAAACAAAAAGTAAACCAGAGTTTAGTTCGAAAAACAGGGCACAAGTAGATTTTTTACACTGCAACTGCATACCTGTCCTTTTGATTTTTCCCTCTTATAGGTACATGCTGAAAATTCACTTCCTGACTCTGAACTGGAAGGATCTTTGTAATTTTTTGGTTGCACTGCTCTTTGAGGTCGTTTTGGTCTGGTGGTTTGTTCCATCATGTCATCAATTACTGAACTTTGTTTTTTACGTTCACTTAGCTTTGGAAAAAGAAGAATATCTTCAATTCATATCAAAATAATAAATATGGAAGAGTAAACAGCAGGTAAGCTACTTTAATTACTTGAAATCCATTATTTCAAATTAACTTTAACAGGAAGTTCTGGGGAAGCTTGCTACTAAAAAAAGGACAGTTGTACACCTATTCCGTGCTCATTAATTAAATACTCAAAGAGCTGATTTGATTTACATGGACATCACCACTGGTACATACAAACAGCAGTATTTTCATGTTCACAATTTAAACTGAATGCACTTGAACAGTTTTAAGCTACTACCATTAAGGAAATTTAAATAATTATAGTACAGTCTGACAGACCAAAAAGCGGTTTGAAGGGGACAGAGTAACATTTGTTTATGTTTGCTTCTTTCAAAGCTGTGGTTTACAAGTATTTACAAAGAACTTACACTGACATACTCATAATTTATTATACCCAAAGTTTTAATAGGCTCACAACACCTTCCAATTATTATTCCTCATTAATGTGAAGCATTTTTCCTCTTTAGTTTCAGTACATTGCCTATATTCAATTAAAGAGGCTATAGTCTCAGAGCCACTGATGTGCAATTAAGCATATTAGCCACATGAAAACCCTCGGCAAAAAGCTAATGGCACATTCAGTGGAGTAGATTATTATTACACAGTAAATAGATATAATCAATAGTTCAGTAAAAAAAACTTACAAAAGTATTGAAGTACAGTAATATTTCTAACTCACAGCTTGCATTATGCCTGAAATACTTACTAAATACTACCTAAAAAAACTATAGCACCTAAAAGCAGCTAACTTTATTTAGAAAGTGACCTTGCAGTAGATGTGCAGAACTGCACGTATTTACAAAAAAAAATTATGTAAAAAGCAGTTTCTGGAATGAATATGTATTTCAAGTCAGTTTGCAAAATTTACATTTACCTTTTTCTCATTTGCTGCTTTGCCTTTGGGCGTATCCATCCAGCAAGGGAGTTCAGAGAACTTCTCTGGTGTTACAGTACGTAAAAATAGAAAATCAGCATCATCATTAAATTCTCAACATTTAGAGAGTTTCAACTGTTAAATTGCTGAACAATTTTATCACTACAAAGATGGTCCAGTAAACAACCTTCAGTGCACTTATTAAAAAGATAGGGTTGTTTTTTCTTGAGAAAAACCTTGAGTCCTATTCTCCAATAATTTTACATATTAAAATGCAGACTTTCTGGAAATTAACCTTTCTAAATGGTTAGGAGATCAGATTCAAGAAGTCTTTGTGCTTGGAACCGGAACAACTAAAACCTACTATATGTAAAAATAAAAGCTGCCACTCTAATGGACAAATTTTATTGCAGCATATTTAAGAAATTAAGAAGGATTCTTACTTTTGCCTTGTCTTTTTGATTTCCCTAAGTTTTTATTTCTACTGTAATCAATTATCTGTGGCTTAGATGGTGCTTTGGATTTTTGTAGCCAGCTGATGTCTGTCTTGCTGTCATCTCCTCTGTATTCTGTGTCTGTGTCACTGAAAAAATGCTTTTTGCTTTGATTGTATCTAGTCTGTAAAAAAAAAAAATTGTTCTGTGTTGTTCATTTACTTTTATAATTTATCTTTCACTTTTATCACTGGTATTTAAATACAGAAAGACAAGGTAAGATGATTCACAAAAAATCTGAACCTTACTTTTCTTCCTGATTTCATTTCAGAGCTAGTTTTACTTTCACCTGGGTTCCTTGATTAAAAAAAGAAAAAACACCCTTAAACAACACATCAACATTTAAAATTCCAAATTTTTCAGCTTTCCATCTAAAGTATGGCTTAAGATTTCAAATGGCTGTACCAAGCTTTCATTTGAAACTCATTTTAGAAAGACCTGTTTGCTGTAAGCCCTGAAGCATGCATGTATTTGCTAAAGATCAGTAACTGCACGCCTAGCAATGTGTCCCTTTGCAAACTAGACGTTAACAAAAAGCTACCCCATTTCAGGAGGTTAAAATCCCTTCAGTATTCCACAAAGAGAATTTTGAAGAGCATTTCCTTCATGAAACACAGTCTTTATTTTTACAAGTTATGTAGAAGTTTTCCAAAGAAAAACCCTAAAACAGCCTAGGAGATGACAGCAACTATGTTTACTGCATGAAAAGAAGCAGTACAGATATACACGTTCCCTGGATTGTCATAATGCAATGGTAGGGAATGTAGACAGTACTGTACTTGCTTATAACCAAAGGACAAAAATACAAAATGACATCCATACTCTTTTTTGTTTGGATCTGTATGAGTGTTTGCTTCCTTAGCACAGCAGTCTTGGATCTAGAAAAATGTAAATAAATGAGAAACAAATTAAAATTTTTCTTCATTATTCTTTTTAAACAAAATGAAACAGGCCACCAGATAACACACTTAAGGGCTTTTTAGCTCAGTTTTTATACTCAGCAATCAAATTCCAACTTAATTTCCATCTTGGAAATTATTTAAAATCGGATAATTGAAACCAACAGGAACTGATTGAAGCTTTCATGTCTTCAAACAATTCATTAGTTTCCAACCACTTTTTTCCACTACTGTCACCTATTCAGCAGGCTCTGCTTAACAACAAAGGCAAAACATTGTCTTTCATTTGCTTTTACCTTTTCTTTTTACTCAATCAGCTGGGCAAAGCCAGCTTTACAAGCTAGGAAATTGAAAAGAAGGCAATACTGTTTTTAGGATAACAGATATGTAACACTCCCAACGAACTGTTTCATCCTTAGTTCAAGAAAACCCTTTAAGCTTTAAGTGGCCAGAACTGTAAGACAGCATATACCATCATACATCTGAAAGTGATGGAGGTGTATGAACATAAAAACCAGGATATGGCAAAGCTATTTTCCCTCACTCCTTTCAGTGATGCTAATTTGAGTTTTAACTGGTGATGATACTTTCAGTAGACATAACTTTAATTTGACGAAGCTACTTTACATTCTATTAATTACATAAGCATTTCAGTTATATTCTTACTCCGACTTTTATTGTAGGCTCACTAAACACACTGACGTTGAAGTTGTAGACATCATACCTGTCAAACAGATGCAGAAATCAGTTTTGTGAGTGAATAAATGATTATTTTTCAAAGTTGAATAAGGGTATCTGGAAATTTTGTTTGAAAATGTGGTAACTACTTACACACTATGATCAGCAGCCGTATCCAGACAAGTAGTAGATTTCAGATTTCTATTCTGAATATTTTCCTAGACATAAATCACAAGTTACTCATCTATCAAATTTGGACCATACAAACTGCCTCCTCAAAAAAAAGTTTTCAGCATGAATTTAAGGAAAAAAAAATCAAGAAGATTCTCAGATTTGCACCAGATAAGCAATAATAGAATATGCCAAAACTGGAAAAAAGCTAGTAAAAGCTAAATCCTTTAAGAACTTATTCTATAAGGATGCTAAGAAAGCCTTGTGTTGTTTTCCCACCATACATTAGGACTAGTTTTTGTATCCTAGCTTTATTTCATCTGAGTATTCTATAGTTCCATTCAGTCCAGCTTGGCTGTTATAATATTTTAATTCTAAAAATTTAGCATTGTCACATTCAAAGGAGTCCATATTAATCATAAGTAAACAGATTCAATTATAGAATACATAAGCAGAAATTAATTTGGGTTTCTCTGGCTAACTGCCCTCATAAAAATATTATTCCAGGTAACATAAACCTGTACATAAAGTATGTCAACTAGAAACAATCAGTGCATAATTAACATTCATCAACATTTTTGAACTTTTGGTTCACATCTACCAGCTGTCCTCATATCTGCACACATATCCAATAAGAAAAGAGTCAAAGAGAAGCAGAAGCTTAAGTTACCTTATTGACACTGAAACAGGATTTATTTGGACACGATCTAAAACAAAACAAAACAAAAAAAACAACAAAAAAAACCAACCAAACAAAAGCCACCAAAAACCCAACAGTATGTTTTATTAAATGGTAGCTGGAATATCTACATTAAAATAGTGCTTATATAAATAAGAGCCTCACACAATACAACAAATTTAAAGGTATTCAAGCATTTAAATACAAAAACAAGTGGCTAAAAAGAAATAAGGTCCCACTCATTTCTTTTGTGCTGTAGAAAAATTCCAGATCAGGTAGCAAAACTACAGGGTCTGCACATCTAACAGGCAGTTATTTCAGGAGATGACAACTAGGATCTTCATAACATTGAACCCTGAATAGACACCCACCAAATATCCCAGCTAAATTTTATCCAGAGAAAAGTTCTGTGAACAAATGAGTGAAAGAACACTGAATGAAATCTCTAGCAATTTCAATTATTTCAATTACTGCAGCTAATTCCCTTCTTACTCTTTAATACAAGGTGGTTTATCAGAAGTGAACAAGCCATATAAAAGCCAGATAGTGGAGTAGATTGCAGGTGTAGCGCTGTGCAGAAAAAACATAAGTAAATTGTTTACTTCATACCTGTTGAAAACCAAAGAGTCTCTTGTTTTGTTCTTCTCATCTTTATATCTGTCACTGATTTTACTAATTAGTGATTTTGTTGCATCTGTGATTTCTTTAGATTTTATTTTCTGAAATAATAGAGTTTAATACTCAACTTTGACACCATTCAGCAAAAAGAAAAGGCTGAAACAGCTACTAGTTCCTAACAATCACCTAAACCTAATTAAACAGTCTTCTAGATGTACTAAATCACATTCCTTTGAAAATCATTTTCCTTATGTGAGTCTGGCAGATATCTTGTTTTGAATGTTTTAACATAGTGTAACATTTAGAAGTAATGGATGAGATGTGTATGAGCAGTACAAGCCAGTCCATATTTAAGAACTATTAATAAAAAGCACAATTAAAAAAAAATATACAGACTAAAGTGATCTTTAACAGGTCAAGCTGAAAAACGTAAACTGTTTGCCTGACATTTAATTCACTCTGTAATAGTTGAAAAAATCAATGTAAAAATAAGTTTGTGAGTAAATGAAAGTATAATAAATTTGGAAATACTGGCAGTGCAACAATTCTCCCAATTACAAGTTGAAAAAATGAAGGAAAGAAGGTCTCACCATTTTTGACTTTTCATGACCTGCAGTATCCTTTCTGGAGAGAACGTCAGCTTCCTCTTCAGTATTGTTGTGTTTTGTAAAATCAGAATGCAAAGATATTTCTGGAACTTTATCAGAAAGACATGTTTTAAATGTTTCAGTAGTAGTTGAAATAGTTTTCCATTCTGTATTTAACTGCTTCTGTTCCAAGTTATTAATGCACTTTGACTCACCACTCAGTACTTTGCAGTTTTCTTCCCTTGTGATTTCAGTTCCATTTCTTTGTTGCTTTCTTTTATTTATTTGTTTATCTGGAGAAGCACTTCCAAAAACCGAACAAAAAGTTTTATGTTTCATAGCTCTTTCACTAAGAATAGGAGCTAAGTCAGAAAGAAAGCACAACTACAGGTTAAAATCTCATCTGAAATACCATTTTTGAGCTAACACTTAAGAAAATACGAACACAACCTGTGTGAGATGATTGTTCCAATGACAGATTTAGCTTTTGTCTGTCACCAGTTGCTATATTCTTCTCAGGGACAGAACACATTCTTTTTTTCCTTGTTCTTTTTTTATCAGAAGAACTTTTCAAATGACCAGGCAGTCTAATAAAAATGATACCATTGTGTTATCAGTGAATTGCAGGAAGTGAGGCTGAACTACAATAAACATGCATCACAACATAGGGAAACAGAGCTAGCTTATAGATTATCAATGCATTTTACACTGGTGTGTAAACCTGCTACTATTGTTCAATTAATCTATGCTTTGTAAAATGACAAAACTTCACAAATTATATATACAAAAAGGCAGTTGCAAAGAGGTTGTTTTGGTATCCTATGGCCAGCACTAAAACTGAACAAGACAACAATGTGGTGCCCCTACAGAGTTACAATTAGAACGTGTTTACTACTTCTTATGGCACAGCTCACTGTATGCAAACCCATGTCATTTTTACTTTACTATCTGTTGTAATCTGAAAGAATTATTCTCCTTATTAACACTGAACATTAAACTACCACTCTGATCTTGCTAATGACCACTATTTTCAAAATAATCAGATTTCAATTATAAAGTTAAAAACAACAGATGAACCTTTTCATGAATCAAGTTACTGAGTCACAAACCAGCAGTGACTTGGTGTTCTTTTTCAGTACTTACAGTTGTTTGTTGCTTCTCCCTGTTCGCTGGGAATCAGGAACGATATCTAATGCCTCATCTAAATGAGATATTAATTTGTTACCAATCGTTATTACAAAAGGAATGTACAAGATTTAAAAAAATAAAATAAGGACAAATAACTCTCGTAAAATTACTTGCCTAAAGTTTGTTTTTCAGTGGTTCCATTTTCTGCTTCTGGTAAAAATTTTGAAACTTCTACTGTAGGGAGTGTGGCCTGAAGAGCAACATGCAAAATAAAACAGTTACATAAAATTACAAACAAAAAGGTGTCTCAAATTTATCATTTCTTGAATAAAATATTGAATCATTACTTCTTTTCATTGAAGTACTGGTTCCAATACCTTTTCTGGTAGTTCTGCCTCTTCTCTGATTTTTGATTTCCTAGTATTCTGCTCTGTTTCACAAAATTCATTATCTGATGTACATCTTTGCCCATTCTAGAAAGTACAATAAATAACAATGACCGTTACAATCCATAAAAGCAAAACAAATTTTAGTACTAAGTAACACTCAAAGTATTCTAAAATGATACAATCAATACAATGAAGTCTTTTTCTGAAGCATGTCTATATAAAATGCCTCAGAATCCTGTAATCAGGAATTTGACCTGAATCTGACCCAAGAACCACTCTGTTTTCTGTAAGTTATTCACTGATTGCAGAACGCTAGCTCTTCCAAGCGCAAATTAGGAACAAAGTAGAACACATGCTATTCTAAGTAAAAGACTTAGCTAAAGATACATACTTCAGTAAGCTCCCGATATAAATTTTTAGTTCTGGTTCCATTTACTGCATTATTGTTAGACCTTTCAACAGAACTCATCATTTTCAAAGGTAACTTGCATCGTCCTTTAGAAGGAGTGGCTGAAAGCAAACGAGAGATGTGTTATAATTCTAGACCAATATGAAGAGCATTGCCCATGATCTCTTTTATTCCATAAACTTTAAAAGAGTGACTAGCATTTATATAAACTCAGTACGCATCTTTAATAATTCTACTGACTTCAATTAAGTCACACAGAGGTTAATGAGCCAATATACAGTGGATGTCTGGAAGAAAGCAATGTTTTACATCTGTGCTCCGAAGAAAATATTTGGTCATGCATGAAGATATTTTACAGTAAAACACATTTTAATGGAATAGATAATGTAGTAAGTTCCAAATTAAAAAAAACTACAGAATTTATCTCTGTCTTAGAATCACAGAATCACAGAATGACCAAGGTTGGAAAAGACCTAAAAGATCACCCAGTCCAACCGTTCACCTATTCCCAATAGCTCCCACTAAACCATGTCCCTCAACACAACATCCAGCCTTTCCTTGAACACCCCCAGGGTCGGTGACTCCACCACCTCCCTGGGCAGTCCATTCCAGTGCCTGACCACCCTTTCTGAAAAGTAAGACTTCCTCATGTCCAGTTTGAATCTCCCCTGCCGTAGCTTGAAACCATTCCCTCTGGTCCCACTGGTCTTGTTCCACTCTAATTTGAAAATCCTTTTATTTCTAGCCTCTTACTCTTTAATGGCATGATAAAGAGATATACACAGGTATATTGATCATTTGAGACCATTAAAACAGAAAATTAGTCACGTGCTTGGCTTCTAGTTTCATCTGCAGCCTCTACTGGACTTGTAAGTCACTTCCTTTTAGAAAGTGCTAAGTGTATTACAGTAGCGCCGTTAGGAAGAAACAATGACTCCTATTTGTTACAAAGAAAAGTATCCTCCTTATATATATATTTTTAATAAGAAACAGCTTTGAAGTAAGCATCTGTAGCACTAGACCTGCAATTCAAACCTGCCCTTGATTCCACCTTATTCACTAGAAACATCATCGACTCCCAAAGAAACAGTTTCTACAAAACCATCACAATGAACATCACAGGCTTGCAAATTGTTTTGTCTAAAACATCCCAGTAAAATGCAGATGGTGGATAGACATATAGGAAAAACTTGATTTCCCACTTCGACTGCCATAAAAGCACTTACTGCCAAGAATTCTTTAAACCAATGGTGAATGGCAGTCACGAGGAAAGCAACAAAAAACCTCCCATATTTTAGTTCTACTCTATTGTTTACTTCTTCACCTCACAAGATGACTTAGCTTGCCCCAGCACAAACAACTTACTGTCAGTGTAATTACAAGAAATGAATAGCTTTCAGCTGTTTGGAATGCTATTCCGTCTGCATAATGTCTATGGAACAGTCTAGCAGGTGGCCTACTTCAAAAATTTCAAGCTTAAAGCATCTGCTGGAGAGATTTTATGAAGCCTACATTACTCCTTTCCAGCCCTGCAATGGATCACAGTTCATTCCTGTACCATATTATTCACAATTAGCCACTTCAAAGACTACAGCTTATTTCTACCCTGAAAGTACCTGCAAACTTACACGTACTAAGAAATACCAGTGGACTCCGTGTGGAAAATCTTGCAGTTGCAGGAATAAGCACTGATGCTTCAGACACTTTCCTTTTACAAGATGTGGTGACCTTGAGGCACGGAAAAACACTTGATCATTATATACAGTCTTAAGGGTGACAACATAAGATTCTAGAAACCTATTTCCAAGAGACTTTTAACACTTTATTATTGAAACACCAGCTGCTCTTGCTGTACTCGTCAGTGTAACAACTGATTTTCATGCAATTCTCACCAAGAGAAAGTTTACCATAACACTTGGATTATTTAACTCGGGATTTTAACTGAGAGCAGCATTATTATTTTTCTAATTTAACTCAACAAAGCAAGGTCAAATTCCATCCTTTGTTAACAATCAAAAGAACTAAGATTACTTTCAGGAGTTTCCACAGGAACAGGTTTACTGAAAACAACTCCCAGCAACACATGTACTGCATGACTACTGCATGGTGAGGAAACGACAGCATTACTTCATCTTTTTCTCCTATCCCTGTGGTATCTGCAGTTAGCTCTGGTAGAACCACAATGCATTTGCCATTTCACGACTGTAGAGTGATTGTGTGGCAAAAGGCTTCACAATTCTGCTCCTCCCAGTTTAAACAGAGAATAAGCAATGAACAGCAGCAGTCCCAACAGATTGTGGTTTGGTTAATGAAGGTACAGGATACATCCTGACAGCCACACCTCAGCTTTTTTGTAAATCTTGTTCTCTGTGAATACCAAGCCTATAAGGACTTGTCTCTAATTAACAGCTATTATTATAGCTAATAATTAATAAGTTTCCAGAACTTCTGCATATCATAGGGTATCTAAACATGCTTTAAAATCTTTTCTATCTAATTAGAATTCTATCAGAACAATGGTCTTTTAAAGTATGCAAACATTACTTTTCCGTTATGTATTTTGAAACAGTATCAATAAATTCTGGCAAACTTTTTCAAAGAAGGTTTTATACAGGTTACTGCAAGATCACAGGAACTCCAACTTACCTTGCAGGAATCTTCTTTGCATTTATCTTGGTTGTTTTTATTCAAAGACCTCTGAATTCCAGGAAGTTGCTGTGCTTTGGACTTACTGAATTTGGCATCTTCAGATTTTTCTTCCAAACATGGTGACAACTGACTTTCTGGCACCAGAACCTATACGTGCATGTGTGTAAAGATGCATACATACAGAAATGAATAAAATTCTAAATATACACATATACAAATATACATAAATCAACATACTGAAACATTTTATATTTGTACATACAAACGCACACGCGTTCAGATGAACTTCTTTACATTCAGTAGCCAATTAGTATAGAAACTGTAAGTTGTACAGCTATCTTTGTTCACTGGCATTTAAAACATCCTTGTTTTTACAGTCAGTCACCATTAGTTAGATGATCATACTAACCATTATAAAAAGCAAGAAAACAGTGATTTCAGCATACCTGTGATCCACTTTCATCAAAGATGATATGCACTGTTGTTTTAGCAACTGACATAGACTGCTTCTTACTGAATTCCTATAAAGGGAGAAACTGTCTAAGTAAAGAAAACACTTTGCTCATTTATTTTTGAACAAGAAACAAAAAAGAAAATGCTTAAGTCAGAGATCAGAAGTGCCTGAAATTACACAGGTTAGAGGGGAAAATACAGTCTGCAAGCTCACAGCTTTTGCAGTCCTACTGAGTTTCTCAACTAGGAAGAGTGCAGGGCAAAGTAGTTCGCACCAAGCAGTAAAGAAGTAAGATGTCTGGCAAACAGTTTTTGACTGAATCAATTCCTGAAGGGCTAAGCATACTGCAAACTGAACTGAATGAGACATTCTGATAGACTGCTGTCTGTTTCCCATGTTACTGCAAAGTCGTAAGTATTATTTACATGATTTTGCATATAAGAAAAAAATAAAGGTGATCCCACTGCAGCCTGTCTGGTTTTGTAACAATTATTTTTAAATTTATTACATAACTTCACTGAAAATAACACGTTACCAAAGAATCAACATTCTTACTAACACTGTGACTAAAGAAACTCCCTAAGTAGAAATCAATACAATAATCAGTCATAATAACATGGCAATAACACATCATTTCAAACTGAATCAAAAAACATATGAAAGGTGTTTGTATCTTACCTTACATTTATTTAACCCATAAATCTTTCTGGCTACATCTTCGATTTCCAAGATAGAATCAAAGTATAAAAAAAATTTCTCTCCTTCTTGATTTCCCACATTCATTGGGCTTTTTAAATCTATTGTTAATAATTTCTTTGAATCTTTCTCTGGACAAAAGCAAAATTGCAGAATGTTTTTCATTACATTTAAGTAGCCACTTTAAGGAGTAAATAGTTGATATCTGTGTGCATCAGTTCAGCTATTGAAATGCAGCTTTCATTTAATTAATTCTACTTATTCTACTTTATTATTGAAGTAATTTAAGATTCAATCATGTAAAAATATTTATATATTAACCCGTAGCATTTTCTCTGAAGGTTACCTATCATAGCTGCAGACCAATTATAGGTTTTTACAAAACTAACCTAAGATATTTGAAAGGAAGATTATTAAAAGTCACCATCTGATGTTTTATTTTGCATTGAAATAAGATATTACTTTAAAATTATTTAAATTGCACCTGCGTGCTTAAACTACTAACATGAGTGCAGTGCAATTTGATAAAAACAAATGCACCTACACTGTTTTGGATGTGAACTTTGCTTTGATCAGTTTGGAAATCCCCACTAGGGCATAACAAAACATCAGATTCATTACTGCCAATACCTTCAAGGTTGTATAGGTCTACCTCTTCCTCTGGTATGATGACTGTTTCCCATTGCTGATCCTCATGTGAAAAATACACAATTTTTAAAAGATATATATAATATTAGAGATAAATTAAGGTCACTGATTAGAAAGCATTCAAGTGAAAACAAGTTTTCAATTGTCAACAGCCTTTACTACAATGAATATATTCTTAATTTATAACTGAAAATGTCCCTGAAGAGCTTTGGTAAAAATACTCATCTAAAAAGTTGAGTTACCTACAAATCCTACAACTTCCATGTGATTCTGTGATTCCAATTTTGTAAACAGTTTCTTGTTCACAGGTGCAATTATATACTGAATTGTTCACAAACAGCATTAAAAAGTCATTACTCTGAAATTCTTTGATCTACATGCATGAAAAAAGAATAGCAACACCAATTTCTACCAGCAATATTTACCTATTTCTGCACCAAATCTATTTTTTTTGTCTCCACATTGTAGATGCATATATAACATACTTGATATACTTGAGAAAGCACACATCTACTTCTTCAGAAAGATCAATATGACAGACAAAACTTAGCTTACTGCATTATCTGCTGCCACGTAGAAAGATACACTTCTACTGCCAACATTGAAATCAATCCAAAATTCTTCAAGATTTTCATCCAACGGGAGCTGTAGCTGAAATGAAAAATTAAGACAGAAGAGCAAGAGCTGAGAATGAGAGTTTATATCAGCTATTAGGCTTTGTGTCACAGGTTGACAAACTTCAAATACTTCTGTATATGCCTGACAAATAATTTTATTCAAACTCTGCTTTCTGAACTAAAAGGCAAAGAAATACCTCACCTGCACAAATGAAAATCTGTGGATATATGATTTAGCCTGCAATTTACCTCATATTTATCAAGAGCTGCTGATAAACACGGATATGTAAAAACCCTGTAAGAAAAGGATATTTTGTCAAAGACTGAAACACTGTAAATTTGGCATATCTGAGCACAGCAACTGCATTGTTTTCAGCACAGAATTTATGTGCTTTACAGACTTTGGAATTGCAGGACTGAAAGGAACAGTCACTTCCTGGCACTTCTTCCCCAAAGGAGATAATGTGAATCCCCAACGAGCAAAGAGTGGTCTCAGATCTCCTTTCTACGTTCATATTTACTGATATTGTAGAAATGGTCTTATAATAGGTATTCAAAACTGAACATGGAGCTGCTATAGGGATAGTAGACAATATCTTCTACGCCATCGTGACATAAAATATACAGAAGATGTGATCATATAGATAGGAAAAAGAGTTTGCACTTTCTCCTTTTTAAATGTTCTATTTCTCTAACAGATATCTTCATTGATCATTAGCTCAGCACAAACATCCCAAATCAAAGGAATATATACATCAATAGATTGCTAACTATTACTAGATGATACATTTAATGATTTAACAAATTAACAAAGCATGGATTTTTTATTGCTTAAGAATCTTTTCAAATGAACGTCCTTTACTTAAATAACAGTTTCTTCAATTTGTTACTTTTTTTTTTTTCCAAGTATAGGAATTACATAAAATTAGCATTTGATAGAGAAGATAATATCTATGGTAACATGCCAAAAGACAGCGCTTCTTTATTATTTAATGTTTTAAAAGAATTTTTACTGAATTCTGCACACTTCCTTGCCTTTGCACCACAGTAAGACTAGTCTTATTTGCTTGTATTGCTTTGTTGAGCTCACCAAATGCAGTTTCTGTGCCAAAAACATACTAGCTTTAAGAACAAAAACATTTTACCTTCTTTTATCTCCAAGCATGCCATTCACCTGGTTAAGAAATTTTCTGCAATCCTGTCAAAACAGAAAGATTTCCATGTAGAAAGTAAAAAATGAAAATCTATCGCGATGGAAATATTGTTAATATGACTTACTGTTTCAAACTCTGAATCTTTAATTCCTTTAAATGCATTGGACACAAACTCCATGGAAAACCATTGGCATGCCAGTTCTCTTCTTTGTTTCTCTGGTATCATTCTGCACAAAGCTTCTGTGATGGCTACTTGCAGGTCATAGTCTACAGCACAATACATTTTACAGGAATAGTAGTTTTAAGAATACTACTGATTTTAAAAAATAATAATTATGTAAGAACCTATTACCAGCAGTGTCAAACTTTTCATACTGCATATCACATTATACCCAAGTATGTAATCCATAAAGGAAATATAGAATTAAGGGAATAAGGATGACTGAACAAAATGATGATGATTCAAAAATGAGACTTCAACTAAACTCTCAAGGAAGGTCAAAGCAATGCTACACATATAAGCAAAGATAGGAAATGTTCAGCTTTTGCTTGAATCAGAGAGAAACCAAAGTGACCCTTGGCAAAAATTAGACTAATATTAAATGTGGTAAACAGTTCACTGTCCTCAGAGACTTACTACTTTCTGATCTTCTGCTGTTTCAAAATTCACTTCCAAGAGAAGAGGACCAACAAGTTCACAAGGTTAGTCTGATCCTGCATACATCTGAGACATTCCTGTTTGCAGGCAGAGTACTCTTGCAATATTTTATTCTTCAGAGGACTATTACTGCAATGTTCTGCAGCTTTTAAGGTATTCCCTGGATTTTTAAATGGGACTACATGTAATTTTTAATATCAATAATAAAATGTTTGTTAGCCATGCTCACCTCCAGCATCCAAAATTCTCCTACCCATGTCACTCCTGAAAAAGTAAGCAGTGTTTCATCACATTATGACAGCAAAACAAAGCACAGAAGAAAAGTTTACTTAATTACAACTTTCCAACATATGAGATGAAAATCTGATTCCATCCAATTATTAAGACTCCAGAGGGGCAGGTCTTTCATTTGCAAAGAGCATACATACATCTGAAAGCAATACTGGAGAATTGAGCCACCAGGTACACGTCTTTTTTTTTCTTTTAACGCTATGAAAAGTTTTCCAAACATGCAAATAGTCTGCCCTTCCAGTGAGGGATTCACCCAGTCCTATAATTGACTATGAATGTAACTGTTTAAAAACAACAAGGATTACATAAGGGGGAATAGCCGATGAGAATATCTGCCACTGATACTACCACAGGCAACACAACAGCAAATGCAAAATGCAAAAATGAGTTAGACATGGATTAGCATGCCTTATAAAAAGTCTTAGTAGGAAAATATCTTTACAGATATGCAAATAATTTAATGATTTAAAAAAATATTGAAGATCATTTACATGACAAGCAACATCTCCTCTGTAGAAAATATCTTTTTCCTGGCATCTCGAGGCATGCTGTCAAGCATTAAATTAAGTTTTCTTACTACCTGAGTGGGAAAAAAAGGATTCAAATTAAACATAAAGTAAGTTACTGAAGTTTAAGTTATTCTGCACCCGCATTCAGGATCTAATCAATATATTCTGTACCACTGATCAAAATAGCATGCTTAAGTAATTGAAAAACAAGAAAATAATTGTTTGGCCTTAAATGGTATTTATGTTTCTTGTTTCCAGGTGTAAATATAGCAAAAAACTGTCAGAGAGAGACTGCTGTCTGAAGCTGATTGCTAAGCTAAATTATACCTCAAATTCGCATGCAAACACCCTTGCTTTGGAGATGTAGCCTTTAGAGAAGATTACAGGGGAGGGGAAAGAAAAAAGAAAAAAGCCAAAATCAAACACAATAAAACACAACAAAGAAACATAAAACCCAAAACTCTTTTCTTTAAAAAGAAAGGAAAACCTTGAAAACATCACGTTAGTAAATTAAATAGGAGAAATTTGGAGTATACTGAAGGTACAGACATCTAGAGGCCCCTTCCAACCCCCACAATTCTGTGATTCTGTGATCTCCTGCAAATATCTAAAGAATTTCTAGCAACTGTAATAGAACATTTTATCTCCTATGCCTTTATATAGCTTTCTCAACAGAATCATCCTACCACTGTTTTCCAATTTACTGCCCAAAGCAAAAATGAACGGTTAGTAGCACAAATGCCAACCAGCATCCCCAGAGAAATAGTAACTTGTCCTTCAGATGCTACTATACTATACCACAACATTACCTGTTTGTGGCATTTGTACACTTATCTTTGCGAAGTATATTTAAGTACCAATGAGAAAAATGCTGCTTAAAAAAAAAAAAAAAGAAGCATTTACCTCTTGTTGGACATAAATATTAATTCTTACATCAGTTATGATGGTACATGTTCTCAAAACAAAGTTTTCTAGCATTTCCATTTTACCTAATAACCAGAGGGAAAAAAAAAAAAAGAACAAACAAACATTAGAAATAAGCAAAAATTCCAGCATTTGGGAAAAGATTTTTATTTGCAGGTGTAAACATAGTGCTAATTCAGAATTAGCACTAAAAATTCAAAAACACAGCATGCCTTCTTTTCTATACAGAATTACTGGTATTTAAAAATAAGCATCTTGTAGTCAAAATGCAGTACAGACTAGTACTTCCATTTACAGAAAACATCATAAAAATCTGTATGATGTTTCTATTCCTGTCTACCACATTCTAACTGTGGAAATCCCTTGTACAAGAAGATCATTAATTTTTAAAATACATTCCAATCAGTTGCACATGTCACTTCTGAGAGCTCTGGGATTGGATTCCCAAAAACGAGGAAAATGGGCCCTTTGAGATTTTGACAGTGACAGCAAAATACTCTGTACTTTCTACCATTTGTGCTACTTTAGTGAAAGGTAAGAACAGCGTGATATTCACGATAGTCATCCAAAGAGGAGAACAACTATGCTATGTGGAGCTGTGGCAGTTGTTAGGTAACACTGCCCTTTTAATGAAAACCTCTTAGTTGCCATCACTGAGAAGAAGAAACTTTCTTGCTTTTGTTGCCAATATTATCAAGTTACAAAGAAAACTTGTCAATACACAAACCTTAAACAATAAAAGATTACAACTGTCATTCAGGCTTTTTCTCCACATAAAAATGCAATTCACAATCAAGCTGCCTTTCTCACGAGCACAAGAAAAGCGCACAGCACAGCCCTCTTGAGGACAAGTCCTCGATGTTTACTGGGTGCAGAACACAGATCTGTTCATTCACATTAATCACAAAATTTTATACTACCCTTATTATTCACACAGAACTGCTCTCAGAACCACCTTGTGTTCAAATGGTTCCACAAATAGTTGTTTTAACATTGACAACTTCTGAAGAGCTCTGAAAGAGATTTTAACTATGATATCTAGAACAGAATTCCTTTAAGCCCACCTTCAGGTCTGCTGTCATATACAATCTACAATAAAAAAAAAAAGAAGGTACTGTAAGCATTACAGCATAAAATCTAGATAACGTACCCAAAGCTGGCAAATAAAAAGCATTTAAGACTTTACAATTATTTCACCCTCAAATCCTTAATGAGGAACACAGCAGACATTTTCTAATGTTAAGTCTAGTATCCTCAAATATTTTAGTAAATGTATTCAAATTGCTTCCTACAACTTTTTTATGTATATATTTTTTATTAAAAACTCCCAGATCTTATAAACTGTGGGCCCTTGGACAAGGGATTAGCATACAACTAACTTGGGTAATAAAAATCAAGACAGAGACGTGATATTTTTGTTCACTGAATTTTTTTTTTAAATGATGCTAACAAGCATGAATGCAGACAAACTGTCTGAAGACACTTATAATCTGTCTCGGAAATCATTGTAACATTAGCATTAGAGGGATACTAAATAGAAAAATGCTTGAAAGCCTTTTTGTTGCCAACGTACTAACAACTCTTCACAAACAATATATTTAATCAACATATTTTTTTACCAGTAGTACATTGAAGAAATCTTCAGCCAGATTTGTAACGATTTTGTTCTTTTCATTTCCTCTGAGAATCAAAATTCCTTTTAACTTTTCATACCAATTAACCATGTAAGAGAAAAATAAAAGCAAACTTACATTAAAAGCACAAAAAAGAACAAGACTGTATTATACTTCAGAAAAACTACACCGACTATACAAAGATTAAAACAACAGCAAAAACATTACCAGCTTCCTGAGCACATTTCAGTGCAAACCTGGTTGCGTAAGCTAAAACACTTTAGTCGGAGTAATGCTTGTTATGAAATAGTAAGAAATCCTTAACTCAAAAGGCAATCAAAGACTAAACTGAATACTAAGTTGTTCAGTGCTGAAGCATTACTCACATATTCTTCACTTATATCTTTTCCCACATGCTTTATGGTTATACTTATCTTTCCAATAAGGCCACATTTTATCATTGCTGGGAGTCCATTGTCGCCTGCTATGCTGATTTTTTCCCCACACTTCCAAAGAGAAGTTAGTAAAGTTGAAACACTTTTGATTTCTTGTTTGTCAAGTTCCTGAAATCAACATTGTAACACCAGCTTCAGTTCATACTCCCAGAAAATCTTACATTTAATTAAGCACGTCTCTGTATTCTCAAGAACTGAGAGTCTTAAATTTTATTTCAGTTTTGCAAATCAACTGCTGGTACAAATGAAAAAAGTATTTTTCAGACGAGCACGAATTATTCTGATGTAACAATGAGATCACCTGACACAGAAGCTTGTCTAACTTGCTGACGAACTGTTTGCTGCATTTGTAAGAGATATTTTCACAATCTTCTCTTTCCAGGTATTGTTCTAATAATTCAAAATTTTTTTTCCTTGTAACTTCATCAATTAGCTTTTCAAACTGCTAGAATAAAAGAAGCACACAGTGATACATTTCTGTCTTAAGACTGATTCTGATTTTATAATGCTTAATCTTTATTTTTATGTTGTCATCTGTTAGATTCTCAGCAAATATACTGAATCACAAAACCATTAAACATAAAAAGGTTCTGAGCTACAGAGCATCATATCTAATGCATTAATCACACAAATACTTACCCACCTTCTAACAGTTTGCCAGTTTTCCTTAACTGGATGCTTTTTTCTTTCCTTGTATCACCAGTAAGCACTTCCATAAGTACTTACTGTGTTCTTACCCTCTCCTTGGCACTTAATACTGCATTTTTAAATTACATATTACTGACTTTAAAAGCTATCAACATATGTATAACTTCCTTTATTATTATGCCTCTCTATTCTTTCTAAAACTAGATTAAAGGTAGGTTTAAACATTTCAGTCTTGAGTACCATCCCAACCACATTAAGTACATCAAATGCATATTAATTATTTGTATCAATAACACCTTTCTGTTCTTCTCAGTTTCTAAGCAGCTGCTTAGAAGTAACATATAGCCATGGAAAATTTCTTCTGAACACATTGTTTGCGGTACTACTAATTGTACTTCTAGTTAAACACCAGCAGAGGTCCTTAAAGTCAGTAATTAAAACAATCCACACCATATTCCAGTCCGTAGGCACATACCTGCATCTCCCTCCTGGCTGCCATTTTGGCAACTGATGAGCTACATGAGAAGGGAACAATTATCACTTGAGTGAAACACAGTTCACTGATACAAACTTCCAATAGATTTTGCAAACATTGTGTAATTGATTAGTTATAATACCAGTTTCAATGATTAACTTTGACAAAATCGGAATAGGAGTTCTGCAGTGGATTCTCAATACATTTGAGCTAGAAAGAGCAGAAAATAGCAGGCTGTCCTGCCAGCATAGATTGTTCAGCATATGCAAGCCAATAGCAAGACTATAGAAAGGCCTCATTATAAAATGGAAAATGAGATTATTTAAGAAAGATACAGTAATGCACGTGGTGAAGAGTCCTAATTATATGGAAAATAGTGAGCACTGAGATGCCTAATAGCTCCAAGATTTTTAAGTTATAGATTTCTGAAAACATTAGCTTAAAACTCAAGAGCAGACAAAAGTAATTGCATTGGATTTAACCCAGAGCAAAACATCCCCATGCTGTGAATGTTAACATGTCTCTACTGATGTACCCAGAGTGCTTTGGCCTCCCCACTCCAGAAATCACATGGAACTAAACATGGGAAAACAGCAATTAAAAACAGAAAACAACTTCTACATAAGAATCGACTGGGGGCACCCAACAGCCGTTTTTGTACTCCTGAGTAACACAGAAATAACAAACCCAGGGTGATTTATTTTTAAGTTTTCCAGTACACGAATGGAACCGCCTACACTGAGGTCTTTATTATCACCTCACAATTCTCTCATCTCCTGTCTAGCCAGAGAATTCGATATAACCACCATTCCAGATGCTTCTTTCCCGACGTACAACAGACACCTCCACCACCTGAACACCCGCAGTTACTGGCATGTCCCCAGGGCCTCGTTACTGAGAAAAGAACGCCCCGCAGCGCCACCAAGGAGCAGCAGAACCTCCAACATGGCGGCCCTCACCTCACCGCCGGCGAGAGAAAAAAACCGCCACTTCCCGCCGGCCAATCACACCCAGACCTACTGATTCCCACCCAATCACCGCCCGAGATCGTGGACCCGTGCAGCCAATCGTCGTCGGAGATGTAAGCGGGAGGCGGATTCCTCTTACAGTGAAAAACTCTTCCGCTTTCTTTGGGCACGCCCACTTTCCGCCGGGCGGCGCTCGTTGGCTGCCGGCTGGCAGAGAACGCTGACGTGAAGGTGCGGCTCGCGCCGGGCTGTGTGTGCATCGGCCGGCGGGAGACGTGCGTGTGGGCAGGGCTGCGCCGTCCGAGGGAAGCCGTGCGTTGCGCGCGGTCACGCCTCGCCTTACAAAGCTGCGAGCACCTCTAATGTTCCGCCGTCCCTCGTTTAGAACAACGATGTCAGGGTGTAATGCAAACGAGCCAGCACGATGGAGTTCGGTAAACCGATGTAATGCATTCAAGCGCTTAATTAAAAAACATTTTCATTACCGTCAGAGCACAGTACAGAATTACAGACCTGTGACCGACACGGGGCTGTGCTGATCCCGCATCCCACCGTGTGGGAAAACAGCGCGTCACAGCAGGCAAACCTGCACCGTGTAAATAAAATACTCATCCCACCGGCTTTCTAAAAAGGGAAAGAAAGCAAATGGGAGCTATAAATGGCAGAACAGCTGTACAGAAAGCGCTCAGCGAGCCACCAGATGTCACTGCAATTCAAGCAAATGACAAGCGGTATGAGGTCGGAGCGCGGCCAGCGCCGGGCTAATGGGCGCTGAGCATTAACTGCGGCATTCGCTGCGATCACGTTCTCTCTCGGCATACTTAACAGTTTTGTTTGGCACGAGAAAGGTCAGCAGTAGAATTTGCATGGAGTTTTGCGTGACACGGACCGGAGCGAGCAATGAAAGCCTTCGATCCTCCTCAGCACAAACAGCTGTGAGGACTTCAACAGCGTTTTGGGAAATATTTCTTAGTTTGTGCATCCCCCGGGCCTTTTAGAAAAGATGTTTCTTCCCTTGCTGAAGCCACAAGATAATTGCTAAAATACGTCTACCAGTTCAGTGAGTTCACTGGCCCTTCTGCTGATACTTCCCTTCAAAGGGATCGGTTTGGCCACCTATGCTCCATGATATATGGCACCTACACTTAAAAAAGAATGGAGAAAATGGAAGCAGAAGTGTGTTCAGAACAGGGTCTTAGAAAATTAGAGGTCCTGGAAAACACTGTAGTCAATAAAATCAGTGTTTGGCACAGGTACTGTTGTGTAAAGAGCTGAGAAGGGTCAGAGCATTTATGCCAACCAGTTTTAATATCAAGTGTCAGCTGAAATAGTTGCAGATCTGAGATCATAAGGAGAAGGCCAAATCAGGAAAGAAGTCAGTACTAACATTAGACCCATGTTGGCAAATGAATAAACGTTTAGAGTTGCCATTCTGTGTCTTTATGAGACAGTGCTGAAAAGTACACACAAGTAATACACAGAGCACTGATGAGCATTGAGCTGTTAAGTGCTATGCTCACAACAGACCATTATTATATTGCTACTACTTGAAGCTGGATTTTTAATAGGATACATTCAGATTCCCTATTAATTTGTGACTAAATATAAAAATAAAACCTATATTAAAAATAACACTGCCTGTAAGACAAATCTCGCTGGGCGTTCACAGCAAAAGTCCAGTCAAAGTATTGAAAAATCAGCTGAACAATTATTATTGACATTTATATTGCTGGGTATTCAGATGTCAAGATCTCCGATGAAGTAAAGGGATTGTAATATCTAACCATTGAATACTCTTAAATTGTGGCATTGATGCACATGCATGCACACACAAACACAAGCTCAAGTAACTCCACATTGTTTTCCAGTGACATGTTAAAAGTCAAAGACCACTCTCCTTTACTGCTCTCAGGTCAGTCTGCACTCTGATAGCATCCTCAGGTGGTGCTTAAAACTCTTTTCTAACGAGTACACTGACAAGGATGAAGGCGGTGTTGTGAGTTCTGATTGATGTCTGTAGCGCAGGAAAAGAGGTGTCACAAAGACATTATAATAGCATGTATGTCTAGAAGCATACTCCTTTGTGCATCCGTATGCATTATTTATAACGCAACCTCTATACTTCAAAACAAAAAGTGATACTGAAATTCTTAAACAACTCAGCACGATACAGACATTTCCACCTATTTAATGTGATTTGCGATAGCCATCTTTTCCCCCAGGCAACTTTGGCACTGTAATGTTAAAGCTGTTAGTCCTGATTAAAAAGTAATTACTAAAAGCATATTGCCAATTATGTCTTCTAATTAAACTTTTCTGATTTGCTTTAGAAGGAACTTTGGTAACAGATAATTCACATCTTGAACTGTGTGGGTTAAATGCTCTGCACAGAGGGAGATGCTTTCACATAGTGGATAAATAGTTACTGTAGAGATGGACACTCTCTTACCCTCTGTATATACATTTTTATGAAACTTCCAAGAGAAAAGCACATGGTCTGAGAGGAGAAAATGTAGCAATAAAAATGGAAAAAAGACACGCAGGGAAAAACAATGCAACTGTGAATCTCAGACTCAGGTAAGACCATCTAGTGCAATTCTGGAAGGGCTTAGAAGAGAACCACTTTTTCTTTCCCTCAAAACAATAGTAGAGTCATATCAGAGTAACTGACAACATGCCTTTTTCCAACATTAGATCTTAATCCTGCACAGAACTAAGGTGAAATTCCATGTAAGAAATAGCAGTAAAGTCATTTTTGAAGCTATATAAACACTGTAATCTTTTCAATTGCTGTTTGGTCAATTTTCAGCAACTGTTGAATCCAACTTACTTCCTAAACTGAGGATGTTGCTCTGTAAGTGACAACTCAGTACTACGTTAGCTAAAGAGCTTTCTTAACTGTTAACAGGAGTACCATTCACAAAGACAACACAAAACTGTGAAAAGCTTTATTGCAACCTCTCCTATTAAAATAGTCAGTTTTCTTACTGTTCTTAAAGGAAATAAACACTTTACAACTCCTCACTAAAACAAAATGACATTTTGTCAAGCAGATGTACTTCATTGACATACTGTGTAATGTACTTTTTTTTCTTGACATGACAATCAGGAAAGGCAACCTTCTCATTTACATGGATTCCATGTTTGTTTACAAAAACATACTTAAAAGGACTTTGAAACTGTGGATTACTGGACATTCTATGACTAAAATAGACAAGTTTTGAAAGTGTATTACATGGCAATAACTCCTGTGAAGAATTCAGTTTTACAAAATCCTCATTATAAGGGAAGTGCTCAGTTTGAACACAGTGCAGGCAGTGAAGTTATCCTGAGAATTTAAGTGGTCATAAGTCTGCCTTCATGATAGGTGCATGCTACCACTACTTAATGGCTTAACCCTTTTGTTGTTGTCAACTAGAATCCTTCTGATGTTCCTACAGAATATGACAGGAAAAAAACTAGTACAGATTTCATCTGTCATGACTCAGTACCTGTGTGAATATTTAACAGCTTAGAAGCACCCTAAAGAAAAATATTTTTTATGTACTGAAGGAATCTAGTAATCCCTCCCAATTCCTTCCTAACGTAGGCATGCTCAACTCAGTCAGCAAAGCCAGGCAACTGGTTTAGTAACAGCTGCTGTCCATTCTTCTACAGCAGTGACAGACATGCAGAGATAAAAGGCAAATTTGGGATAACACGTGAATATTCAAAATTTTGTACATACAAATACCCTGAGAGGCTACAGAAGGAACACAATGCAAACCAAACTCACTTTGCTGAGATATTCAGTTCTCACCTCTCTGACATAGTGACTTTAAACTGTCTCTCTATAATCTCTTGCTCCTTGCAGTAACAAGGAAATTTTGACATTTGCAAGCATGAATGTTTCTCTTTCAGAACACAGCAACAGCATATTAGCACCAGTGAGCCAAGTATCACATTGGGCTCCAGCAACACCCATTGTAAAACAGTATGAAATAGCAGTCTCAGAAGAGAAGGAAGTTAACAGTGTGCTGAGAGACAGTTCAGTGTTTTTGCTCAGGAAAGAAAAACAGTAATTGGAGGGGGGGGGGGAGGGGACGACGACGATGGAGTAATACTTTAAAATAGTGCCTTTTATTCAGCACAGGTTCTTCTGTGCACATTTGTGTGTGCATGTGCCTATGTTTGCTTTTTACTTTGCTAACAAATACGTAAAACTCCACTTCTATGGAGTTCAACAACAAGCAATAAACTTTAATGATATTACTTAAGTAAGCAAGTGTCACCAAAGTAAGGTTCAGTTCATGCCAAGAAAGATTCTTCTGCAGTTACTCAAGGTGTGTTTTACCCTACCTGACATTTGGCACAATCTGCAACAGCACTGAGAATTTCTTTGCAGCAGAACTCATCCTGCAGCAGCTGACACAGTCAGTCACACTACAGGCAGCTTGCAAACTACAGCAACATCGCTACTGAGCATAGAGAACATCTGGGTTGATTACTTCAGATGTGTTATGTCATACACCATCATATGTCATTTAGCCATACAGAGCCCCCCCCCCCCCAATAAAAAAAAGAGGGCATGAGTCAAGAAGTGCCCCTTCTTGCTTTGCTCCATCTCTCTCTCTTTTTTTTTTTTTTTTTTGGCCTATGAGGAAGAGCAGAATTTCAGTTCTCCTTCCCCTGTGACAAAAGAGCTGCAGCTCAATTGTTCAACAGTTACCTCTTTAACTGAGATATGGAAAGTAATGCAGGTGGACTGAAAGCACACAGTCTTTTTAATCTGTATAGCTATAAATCTCCAGCCTCACCCTAATCTCAGAAGTGTTCTGCCTGTCTTAATGGCTATGAAGACTTAATAGATATGAAATTTCCTAATGGAGCAGTTGTGTTACTCATTCAAAACAATTTCAACTTGAACTTTTGATCTCACTGTGCTCCAATATAAAATTAAATTCATTTCCTGTTAAATAGAAAACGAAAGCTCTTTTATGCAAAAAGTTAATAAAGAAATGATTATTTTTACTGTTCCCTACCCACAGATAACCACTGGTAATTGACCAAAATACATACAAGTTAAAAACCAAAATTAATTACCAAAGGTAGGTAGGCTTACAGGAAGAGTAATACTTAGAAGCTGGCTTTCACAGGAAAACCCTGCCAGCCCCAACTGAATTCAGCTACTGACAAGTGTCCTGCTGAAAACAAGCCAAAGTACATCTTGCATTTCTGCTGTTATACTGGACAGCTACGTAAGCTTTATAAATGACATCTGTCATCTGTGGACATTTCATTTACTTAGGAAAGACATCAAAATTGCATTTAAGCAGCAGTCGCTAACAGAAATGGCCAAATTATAGAATGAAAACAAATGGTTTGCCTATTCTATCAAAAGTTGCTTGTTTTTTTTTTTTTCTTAAAGAAAACTCTAACTGAAAGCAGTATGCACTGGATTGCTATGGAAGAAATTATAAGCATGCAATTCAAAACAAAGAACAAAATGGAGGATGAGTAAGTGCACATTAACTGGGTGAGTTCTCCAGTATGACAACACAGTCAGTTCCCAGCGGTTTCCAATACAACTGAGTTTTCACTGTACTATGAAAGAGGTGCTAAGCAGGTCAAAAAACCATCATTCATCAGTTGTTCCTTTGAAAGATAAAGACTACCCAACTGGGAAGCCTGTTCACTTCAAATCCTGGCACTGATAAATAGCCCAACTAGTAACATTAAGTTGCCAAACACTTGAATTTTCTTGGTGTTTCTGCACTTCCAGAATTATTTGTTGGACCTTTTGTATTAGCACATACTCAACCATGAGTTACTTACAACTGTGGTTTTAAAAATCACTTGTGATTTTGATGAATAAGCAGAAATCTAAAATTAGATGTCTGAATACATGGCTTGATTTTTATAGCACGGTTCTTTCAAAAAAGCAGCTCTAATATTTCCACCCAGATAGCTTTGAAAATTTGTCATAAATTTTGCATGCAAGTGTTGAATATATGGGAAAAAAACGAACAAATAAACAGACAATCTTTTACTTACTAGACTGAAGCCTGTCACCAAGCCTGTTGCCTACCTCAAACCATACTAAATCCTCAGAATAAAAGTCACAGAGCAAGAAGTATTGGGTATGCAGTACTTATGTTGCTATGCTTTCCCTGCTGTAGAAGATAATCTGAGGACACATTTTAATACTAATTTACTATTACAAGCATTATTTTGCTTTGAGGTTCCTGTTCCGTGTTGCAAAGGATGCAGTCTTAGAGATCAATTGGTTTATAAAAAAAAAGTAGCTGAGCAGAGCATTCAAAAAGTACTACTGCAAAGGCAGTGAGATGCTGGGAAACAGAGAGCCAGGATTCAGAGTCCAAGGATCCTACTGCAAGGCTCTGTTACAAGCTCAATGTATTGTCTTTTCTTTCCTTTCTCACATCTGCTTGATTTACAAGTTTACTTATTTCAAGTACGAGTGTAAGAGCATAAGTGTAATTTGAGTGCAAAATTTCTCTGGTTTTCCTTAGTGAATGCAGCTGCAGAAGGACAACTCCTGTACCACCACCTGGAGGAAAAGCCTACTGGTTAATCAGGTGAACAAGATGAGAGCTTCCCCACGAAGCAGAGTACCTTCATACACTCTGGTAACAATCACTCCTCCTGCCTACTGCAAACAGTGGAGATAAGGCACTTAAAAAAATAATAATAATAATAAAAAAATAATAATAATAATAAAAAGGGAAACGCTGATTGGAAAGGGAAAGGGCTGATTGGAAATTTTCATGCAAGTTTTGCTCATAACATTTCTTTACTTTCCAACCCCAAAACTAATGGAAATACTCAGCACAGTAACAGTCTTAAAAAAAAAAAATAAATAAATGTATATATATTTTATATATATATATATTATATATATATGTAAGTGCTTCCCTACAGTGTCTGCCATGCAAATTGTAATTGGAACAGTGCCCAGAGTTGGTGTGATAATACAAACAAAATTAGAAATGAAAACAATAAAGCTGCACTGCCCATTTAAAAAACAGACAGTACAAAATAGTAAAATAGATCTGTTAGAAATACTCTATGCAATCTAGAATATTGCTAGCAACATAAAGTGTCTTCTCTTGATCTCTTCTAAATAGCCTGAGAGAATCCCTTTGAACCATTCTGCCTTGATTCATACATTACAAGAAACCACCCAGGCTTTCAGCAGATGTAGCTCTACACATTTTGGCCCTTAATACTTTCAGAGGTTTAGAACAGTACGTCCGGTTTGTTGGCTACCTGCCTGCTGTGAAACTCTGCCAGGTTTGGTAGGCTTCAAAAAGGAGCACAGAGCAATGCCACACAAGAAAGGGCCGCTGAGACTACTGCAAAGCTGTTCTGCATCCACTTTCCTTCATTCAGATGAAGTGGATCCAGCTCTCCTCGCATTCTCTAGGCATCTTGAGGGGGTGAGTCCGGCAAGTGAGGCTGTAGTTTTTGCCTTTGTTGTTATCCCAATATTCCTGCCCATTGACTTGATATCTTGCTGCAAACTGGACTACAGAGCACAGCTGAAGGAGGAAAGAAGGCACAGGGAGAAAAAATGTGAAAACATCAACTTGATCCTGCCCGTTTTTCTCAGAGATGCTACTGTGCCAATGAGCACATACTTCATGGAGACTTTTCCACTGGTTGAAGGTGTATCGCACAGATACTTGCTTCTCAAAAGCAATGTTGCAAACTTGGATGGTGCCATTGACCCCCAGATCTGAACTGGTCACTCGTTCAAGACACACCTGCTGCTCCTGAAGTCGGGCAGAGAAATCCATGCAGTCTGCAGGCTGCTGGAAATCAGGGACTAAGCACTGCATGGTAAACTCCAAGTTGCTGTACCAGAGGTCTGAATTTATGGAGAGCCTGGAAAGGACATGTAGGGGAATTGAAGGATCCTCCCCTTTCTGGAAGACTTTGACTTCAGTCAGCTCCAAGCCCAGAGCATCAGCAAATCTCACCTTGTTCATGCGACTCTGGCACACAGGAGCTTGACACTGCACTCGCTTCCTTCTTTCAGGTGTTGTAGGCAAAGACCTTGCTCGGCGGCGGATGATAGGCCGCAGTGCTGGATCACAGCTGCTGGAAGTGCTGCTCTGCGGCTGATGAGGCTGGGCCACCACCTTGACTGGGGCACGGCTCACAAGACATGGGCTGCTGCTCGGACGTACCATTGAGGGCTGCTCCTGTCCTTGTCCTGCTGTGTCTTGAGCCCGCAGCATGTTCTCATAGAGATCAGACAGGTATCTGCGATTCCTCCGAGGACCGCGCACCTCCATTCTTCACTGATGGCAGCGCTGACGTTTACACTGCTGGGAGCACTGCCTCTCTGATGTAAACCGGGAAAGAGCCACGGACAGCGAGGATTTGAGGTTACTGCCCTGGATATAGAAGAGTAAGCTGGAACAACATATCCTTCTGTGAGGAAATGCAGAAAACTGGCAGCTCTCACAGCAGCTGGGGGCAAAGCAGAGCCCGGAGCGTTGTATGGAGAAGCTGAAGGCAGGCTCAGTGGCTGGTGAACTCGAGGCTGGTGGAGCCGTTGCTCAGGCTGGAAAGAGATTCAAGACTGTCACCCGCGATGCTGGAGGACCGCAGACTCTCGCGCAGGCTGGGGACGGACTGGAGGCTGTCGTGTTGGGCGCCGAAGGACTCCAGGCTGTCACTGAGGTCGCGGGGCGCGTGAGGGCTGCAGCGGTGCACCCCGAAGCACCCCGAACCATTACACGTCGCCAGCCGGGTCTGCAGGCTGTCCTCGCAGGGGCTGACCGAGCCCAGGCTCCCGCAGCGGCACCCGGCACACTCGAGGCTGTCGCACTGGATGCTGGGCGACTCGCGGCCGCTGCCGAGGCCGGGGAAGGCTTGGAGGCTGTCGGGCGGGAGCGAACCGGAGCTGAGGCTGCCGCACAGGCTGGAGGGCGTGAGGAGGCTGTCGGGCGGGGCCGGGGAGGCGGACTCAGTACTGTGACTGGAAGGGGAGGAATCGGCGGCCGGGGTCTGCACAGCCCACATCAGTGCCCAGCTGCAGGCAGAGCACAGGCACCGGGCCGGCCGTACCGCGCTCCTCTCAGCACAGACCCCTCATCCCCGGTCCGCCCGACGGCGCCTGCGCGGAACCCCAGCATTCCCGCCCACGCCGCGCCTCCCTGTCTATCAAACTGAACGGCCAATAAGCACCGCCCCAGGCGCATGCGCAGTGCCTGCCTGACGTCGCTGCCCTCCGGGTGCCCTTAATGCCGGCGGAGGCTGCAAGGGAGGCAGGTACAGGCGGGCTGGGGGGTGGTAGCGTTGAGGGGTTGGTGGGACCGAAGGGGGAAATCGAGAAGGTTAACTTACGAAGCATGACCTCATCATCAGTCTGCGGGGCCGTTCTGTAGCAGGAGCTGTTGCGTCTCCGGGGCAGGACTGTGCAGGGCTGCAGGCGGTGCTCTGCCCGCGGAGCAGAGCTGGGCTGCGGGACCGCGCGGCTCCGAACTCCGGAGATCGGAATCGATGGGACATCGTGCCCTGCAGGGCTTTGTCCTGAGAAGAGGAGAGGCAGTAAGAAACGGGACTGTGTTAGATAAACGTCAATAGTATCCAGTAACACATACAAACAATAAATCTATCTATAGAACTGCAAAAAAAACCTGAGGGTGGGTGTAGAAAGGTGATCTGGTGCAGAGCATCTGTCACAACTTAGGAACTGTGCAGCCCCGGGAGGGGAGTGCGGCTTCTGGAAAATGAAGGAATGCTGTGTGCTCTGCTGTGGCTATTTTTAGTGGGATGGATGAGCAGTGAGAGGCTTGGTTTGGGAGAAAAGTGAAGCATTGGGTACACTTATGTATATGAATGTGCCACGAGCACATTTTCTGGCACAGAAAGGGCAACTCCATGCACCCAAAGCAGACAGTGATAAGCGTTCAGTTATGAGCAGAAACACCCATCCCTGTTTGACCGATCCTCGGTGCAGGCAGGACAACATGAAGAGCTCACTGCACGGTGAAAAGTAGCTCTCCTAACGCTGCTGCACCTCATCATGTTTTTCTGTATTTTTACCAACAGTCCTGCAGACCGTGTGGTGTGTGCTGGATGGGCTGAGTGATGCTGGCCCGGCTCACCTCACTGCAGGGCTGTGTGCTGTCTGCAGAGCGGCTGCATCTCTGCAGCTGACGCTGAGCACAGCTCTGTGCAGCCAACTTGCTGCTGGTGCTGATCACTGGCTGTGGGCAGCCTTGGTGAGGTGAATATGTGACTGCTGAGGGATGGGATGGTGCATCCCAGTGCAGTTTGGTAGCTAATTAATGTTTATCGTACTGCTTTAATAATTACATTGTGTGGTTTTTGTTCTCTACGTGTCCAGGACGTGGTGATGTTTGCATTTGGCACGCTGTGCTGTGTGGACCAGAAAGAATGGAGTCATTGGAAGATTATGTAAAGATAAAGATGTAAATACCACTTTAAAAGAGTAATAATGGGACCGGGCATTCAAGAACATCCGTTATTAGTGCACCGAAAGGCACAGAAAAAGGAAAGCCAAATCAATGAAAACCACAAAGGAATGGTAAAGTAAGGAAATTATTTTCTTTCTTTCCAGTTATACAAAGTACTATAGAAGATGTAACAAGCGCATGACTGCGCAGTTCAAATTCTCATCCTCCTCTCCAATCCACGTCAACACAAATGATTGTGTGGTATGACCGTGCAGGTCACGAAGTGACAGAGGTGACTGCAGCACTGCTGAAGGCACAAAACTTGTCTTTACTCTTTTATAAACTCTTGATTTGATTAAAAAAATATCTTTTTAAATAATAAAGAATAATGGTTGAAGTTTTGTTGAGACTGTGCAAGTGAAAAAAGGAAGCAAGATTGATTGTGGCATTCATATTGTACTGTATAATTAATTTTGTTAAAGTGCACTGGGACCATGAGTATTCCATGGTAGCTCAATTAATAATTAATATTTACTATTTATTATCTGCAAAGGAACTTTGGGATCCTCTGATGGAAGTTTCTTTATGAAGGCTAAGTTCTCTTAATATATTTTCTAATTTAATTATGCATTTTGCAGTAATAGTATTAAAAATGTAGTATTATAGTAGCTGGATAAAAAAAGCATAGTTACTATGAATATTAAGACTGTTTGCAACCAACTCTCTCTTCTTGAAACTTAATGGTAAACTTTTATTGAATTTCTATTCTGATTATCATAAACATTTCTATTAATGTGTGATACTGTGTTTAATCCTTGCTAGTAACAGTAATGGAAAAAGCCACCCAAGCACCAAAGGAGTAAAGAAATCAGTTTCTCATGTGAAATCTCCTGGAAGATTATGCAAAAATGTGCCAACTACCAATGAAAAGGTAAATCATACCAGTTCTTTTATAGAAAAAGGATACAAAGTTTATGTTAGCTTTTGTAATAACATCACATATTTTCTTATCTTTTCAGACTTCCTGTGACACTCAAGACGATAACCAACGAAGTGTTTTTAAGAAGGGGAGGAACCAATTAGATGACAGTACTCAGTCAAAACAGTAATTCTATTTAAAGATTGTCTGTTTAATTTGTACACAGTTCAAGCTGGCATTTAAATGCTTGTGATGAATTCTTGGCTTCATTGTGTTGCCTTTGAGGTCACTGCACTCAAAAGTCAGCATTTTTGAGGATAACAAGTTTAAATTATCAATATGGAATCTTGCTATACTGGATCTCAGGCAAAATTGGAATGAAATAAAGCAAAAATTCAAGGCTAGATAGTATTCTGTACTGATTTACTAAGTTTCCATGCAAATTTTACCTCAGTTCATGTATATCCAAATCCTTAAGGGGGAAATCAAAAGTTTGTAAGCTGGCGTTCCAAAGACTTTAATCATTCTAACAGGATGTGATATTTCTTTCTGTTTAGAATCACAAGTGTTTGCACATCTCTGCCCAGAGTTGAAAGGTCAAAGAGGAGTCTCCCAGAAACAAGGCAAAGTGAATCTTTAGTGCACAGGATCCCTCCTGCCACAAAAGGCAGCACACAAGGTAGCTTCTGTAAAGTTAAAGATGTCCAAGTGCAACATTTTTATTGCAGTAAAAAAGAACAGTTGGAAAAGAATCATGAAGAACATGCTGCTGAAGCTGGTCCGTGCTCCTCTAAATGGCAAGAAGCATCTGTGAACGAAATGTTTCTTGATTTTGAATCGGTACAAATTATTAAAGAAGATGCTGAAGATGATAGTGCCAGTGATCTCTCTGATTCAGAAAGGATTCCCATTCCTCCCTCTCCCTGCACACCACCAGAACTCATACTCAGAGCTGAAGAAATTGATCCAGTTTGTTTGGAACGTGTTCCTGATACGGGTTTTAAAGACTCAGAATTTTACTACCCAGACTTCCTGCCGCCCCCTTTTAACTCATGGGACTTGAAGCAACTGGCCATCTTTGTTAATGTAGAAGGTAGATCTGAACTTCGACCAAAGCCAACTGGATTTCTTGAAAAATACATTGATCGTCTTTTGCAGCTGGAGTGGCTGCAAATGCAGACTGTACAGAATGAGAAAGCAAAGTCAGCCAAAGCCAGACCACAGACTGCTCCCAGCTCTGTACGTACCCTAAAAAGCCCTGGCAAATGCAAAGCATCGCTTAGCCCTTTGCCTAACAAACAAATGGTTCCCCAGGAAACTGTTACAAAACTCCCCACGTGCTATTCAGGTCACAGGGTAGATCCATGCTGTGAAGAAAGTCAACGGTTTTATTCACATCCAGGGCACTTGAAACCATCTGAAAGAATGGGACATGCGATGTCTTCTCAGAGACAGTCTGGTGAAGTAAGAAATGAACTGAAAAAAACAAATGCAAAGCAACAGCTTCTCAATATGCAGCCATCTGAGAACAATTCTAAAATTCAAAGTGTTGGTAATATCAGACCCCCTAAGCAAGCACCAGCATTTCATGGTTCAGCTGCTCCTATCAAAGGCTTAAAAACATATGCATGTACAAACACAAAGAAAAATGGCAATGCTAACAATTATGTTCCTTCTAAAAAATCAGCCGGGGACAGAAAAATAAAAACAAATGGCACAAAGCAGACATCACGGAAATTTAAGTGAAAAGTTTATTAGTTGATGTTTCTTGACTGCTAGAAAGTGTTTGGCCAATGCAGAAGGGTCATGTTATCTTCATAGGAAGATCCTGAGAAAATATGTTCTTGATTCATAGTTCTAAGTCAGCACTGTTCATTTCAATACATTTGATCTTAAGCCAGCAAGAAATCTTCTCCCTGAAGGCAAGTCTTCCATTGGTCTTTCCTTCAGCATATTGACAATTGCTCAAGAGTATGAAAGTTTAGAGATATACACAGTTATATAATGTCCTCCTATTTGCACCAATTGAAGTTTGCTGAAGTCTGTAGTGTTTCTTCTGCACTCCTTTTTGTGCATTTGAGAGAATAGGATCTGAGCTCTTTAAAAGAGATGTTATTTTGTGACAGGTTTCATAGTGTTTTGTTCTGATGGGAAAGGGCTCAATTGTTTTTATAAAATAATGGAGCAGCTTATCTATGCAAAGTGAAACTAATTCTTCATAGGAGATGATGAATTTTTGGATGAATTGGATGTGGTTTTTTTGCTAGGAAGAAGAATGGAGATAATGTACTGGAATATTTTAATACTAAAAGGATTTTTTTAAAGACAGACATTTGTTAGAGAGCAGACAGCTTCAATAGTGGCAGATTAATAAAATCAAATGCATATTTTTATACCCAGAAAACTTCACTGTTTACAGACAGCGTTCCTTCATGTTCATTTTGTAAACCTTGAATATTTCAAATTGCACGTGGATATTGATGACTAATGCCAAATGAAAATATTACTGCACAATCTGTGACCTAATGTTCAAAACTGGTAAGCTCTCAAAATCCAGAAAATAGACTCTTAGGTTATGAGCTTGAAGACCAATGTAAGTTCAAGCAAAGATATATTTTGATACAAAAAATACCTATTCTTAGCCACCTGTGATGACTATTCTCTATTCCATGGCCCAGCCTGTGTCAGTTTGATTTGCTTCTTACCTGAAGATTTAGACAAGTGGCATGGGGAAATACCATAAAATTGTTCAGCCAGAGTTGAGTTCTGTCCTTAGACCCTCTGATTCTTCTTGTGTCTGGGATACAGGAGAATATGAAAGTAATTCAGCGAGTATTCAAGTGTCAGTTCAGCTCTTAGCTGGGGACACTATTTTGTTGAAAATCTAGAAATTTTTTTGAAGTTTGATTTTTAAATGAAATACTGAACACCATTTGTTCATCCTCAGCCACCTGTCACAGTGAACTGTTGATGAGAAGTAAGCTGAGGTCTGACAGACTGGATTTTTACAAGTGGATCCTTCTCATTCCTATAGCTAGTGAGAAACCATCAGTTACTATAGAATATACTATGTACATAGTTAAACTGCACTTGTCTTGGTGATCTCATCTCTCTTGGTCTTAAGATGCTTAGCTGTTTCTGTTCTTTCATTGTGTCTACTAGGTCTTCAGCTTTGTAAAATTTCCAAGCATGGATTTATATATAGTTCAAAATGTGAGAATATTGATAAATGTAGTAATAAACCAGAGTATTTTACACAAAAACAATGCTCAGGAATAGACTTAAGAAATATTTTTAGTGGCTTTTTCCTAGTTACTGGAGACCAAATGTGAAATTTTAAATTGATGAAAGAAACACTTTTAATATACAGTATTATGTTTCCATATGCAGTATTTGTTAGGATACAGTTAAAGTAAATGGTAGTTGCTTCTACATTCTGTGCTATGCAATTAAAGTGGAACTTAATCTCATGTCCTCAAAGATCATATAAGTTGGCTGTCAGAGGTGTGGAGAAACTTACAGGCTGGCATTCAAATACCAGCAGCTGCAGAGCATTAGCACATGCTTGTGTTACAGTTTTATCCTTTTGTATTGTTCCAGACTCTTCCTGTATTTCAGCTGCTTTAGATGGAAAGGGTTTTGCATCCAGTGCTGGGATTTCAAGCTTTTGCCAAATTCTATGAGCCTTCATTAGCAGTTTTACTGATTTACATTAAGATTAGGAACAGTCGGATTGCTCTTGCTGATGAGCACGATTTTAGTACGCTATTTTAGCACACTGTTGTAAGCTCCAAAAGCAAGGTGAGCAGGATCAGAATGGCAGATTTTTTAAACACATCTTCGTAGATGCAGTAATTAGTTTAGTGTATTATTATAATGCTGAATATTAATTAGCATATGCAAAATTACCTCTGATATGTTGCTTTATATTGGTGCTTCCTCAGGTTACAAGGAGAGCATGAAGATACACGCACGTTTTGCATGGTAACTTCTTAAAGAACAAACAGTGTTTCAGTCAGCTCTGACCAGAGCAAACTCAACTGGCAGAGAATTTTTTTTCTTGCAGACCTAGGAATTAGAAAATTCTGTTTTAATGTATTGCTTGCGGTCTAATGCACATCTAATGCAAACCTGTTGCTGGAGACTTTCTAAAAATTAAATAAGCAGAAGTAGTGATGACATTGAAAATAAATTGAATACTTGTTCATCACTCATTGGCTGTGGTCTGGACAAACAAAGTTTATCTCACATAATAGTTCTTGTTCACTGATTTGATAATTATACAGTAAAGTCTACTTTGTTTGCATACAGAAATAGAAATTCTGATTTTTACCTCAAAAATAATTATTTAAATGGGAGATCTGCAAGTGTTGGAATTGATCCAGCACCGGTTTTGCTTCCATTTTAGCTTGTCTGTGTTCTGGACCTGTAGCTGAAAAGAACTCCCTCTATAAAGAAGACTATGATTTATCTTTCTTTGATTTTGTATTAATGGGCATTCTCTTTAGAAACAGAATATAGCAGAAATGTTTATTTCATCAAATACATTCCATTTGGAATTAAAATATTTCCATAGCATAGTGTTTGTGTGGCTATTTCTGTATTTTCACTGTATTTAGCAATATGTTCTTATGTTTATGTGTTTTTAGCACTGACAATACTTCTTGAAGAAGTGATTTGAGATATTTAAATTGAGTGGGATTTTTTCCTAGATATTGTAAAGGTTTATTACAAAACTAATAGCCTCAGGTTGCATTTTAAATAAATACTCAGTCTACTTCAGTTACACAAGTATGAGCTAGGAACAGCTCTTGTTCTCAATGAAATTACTTGGTTACAAAGATGTAACCCAACAGTTTTGCTCCAATACGTATGAATGGTTTTCCATAGCACTGCTATGTAGTATTTTTAATGTATAATGGAAAGGATTTTAAAACAAATCTGTTTTGCTCTCAAGACACTTTTTTCCTCCATTACTTTTGTCTCTTTAGTCAAATACTGTGGTCAGCCATGGTTTCACCCCTTTGCACTCCTGCACAGCCTGCGGTAGCTTACAATTGAAGGCGCTGGTTCTGATGTTTCTGCACCATGCCTTCAGATCTTCATTTTGTTATCTACACAGACATAAAGCTTCAGCAGTTGCTCACTTAGAAGTTATGCTTCAAACAGGGATTGTTACTGTGTGAGCAAAGCATGCAATACTGGGAAAAGAGGCACTGTGAGTGAAAGAGCCTGGAAAGGAAGTGTTCAATCAGTCCCTGCTACTGGTTCAGCATGCTGAATCACAGCATGGCCACTTGCTGGTTAAGTGGATTGCATTTCTCTTTGCAAATGGGAGATTACCTTTGCTGGTACAAATTCGGTGTACTGGAATTACAGTACTTCTCAAAGAGGCCAAAAGATTCAGCAGTACTTTTTCTAAGTTGAGTTTAGCATAAAACAGGTGGCCAGAAGCAGGAGCTCTTACCTCCCAGGAGCACCTCTTCCAGGATGCTGTGGCTGCAGTTCTGTTGCACATGTGCTACCAACACCCTTCTGTCATCTGCTTCTGACATGTGCAATGTGATGGAAGAGGGGAATAATGCTGCACAGGATAACTATGCTTATATCCCTGTACTAAAATGTCTTGTTTGACTTCATCCTTCTTAATTATGCTGCAATTTTATTATTCTTCTGTCCTTTCTTGTGTGTTACTTATTGTTGACTGAGGTAACTTTTGTATTTCTCATTTAAAGGAATTTATTAGAAGGTTCAGAATAGTTTGGCTGACTTATTTAAATGGGTATGTGATACCTTCTTTGGAATTGATATAGTTATCAATTCTATAGTGTGAAACTGCCTGTAATGTACTCTTTTTTTTTTTTTGGCCCTTGTTTTGAAACATTGTCTTTTCTTTATTGCTCCCACTGGAATTATTATTGGGTTTCCTCAAGAAAAATAATTAAAATAGGCCAGTTTTTTGGAGCCCAGGTTTTGATGTTGGTAATCATTTGTCCTTTTTTATTCAAAGCTTTTGTGGTTATTTTTGCTGAAAATTTCATTGGAAAGTGATCTTGTAATTTAAAGTTACTGCCTATTAGCTACATTAAAAATGAGATGTTGCCTACTGGTTACTTAGCTGTAGTTTTTTCATTACCCACAAGATGGCACTTCTGAATTCTTTTTTGTAGAAAATTCCTTCACTGCAGCATTAACTCTTCACTCAGGGACCTCAGCCATGTTCCTGCTGCTGATCAACCCAGCTGGTTAAAAAATAATTGCTTCTACTCCACGTGGCAGTCACTTTTATAATAGTGCCCTTAAGGCAGCAAATGGATGTAAATATAATCAGTTTTCATATTTAGAACACACTGATCAATACAATTCATATTCTCTGTTATAATTTCAGTTAGACAGCAAAGGCATACAGGTAAGTGCTTGCAGAGGTACTTTTTAGCCACTTTTCATCCACTTTTTGGTGGATCATGCCACTTTTTGGTGGATGAATGCATTTTAAATATTTTCACACTGTGTTCATATATTCAGCTCAGACTAATCAAGGAGGAAACGGAGAGAAATTCAGAGAAAAAAATGGCATTTCCTATTTCTGAAAGTCCCTTTGCTTTACTATTTTTTGTAATTTTTAAGCATTTCAAGGGTCCTCTGTGGGCAATCATACAAGAAAACGATAATCAGAAAAAAAAAAAAAACAAAACCAGATGATACAGCCCCATCCATATCTACAAATCCTCATAGATGAACACCAAAACACTGAGCTTTGCTTTGAGCCGTCTAAGTTCTACATAATAATCTGTTCATTTTCATTTTTCTGTTCCATCTGACAATGGAGAAAGATTTGGTTTTCTTCTGGAATAGCTGTAATGCAGTGTAACTACAGCTATTGATTTTTTTTTTTTTCCCTCCCCTGTTACAAGTCATGTTAATAAACCCCTCAGAACAGCCTCCCAGTTCTGGTTTCTGCCCTTCGGTCTGGCATGTGAAAGAACAGATTGCCTGAAAGGTTCTCCCTTTCAGCTGGGCAGAACTGGAGCTCTTTGTTCTTTCACTACTTTCTCATCCCTGAATTTCAGATAGCTTCTGGAAGAAACAACAGCTGCTCTGAGAACATCCCTAAATAATAGCTTTTTTCCTGTACCAGAAGACATTGGTTTTAGAGCAGTTACATCACTATGGATTTAGTAAAGCAGAAAACCCTTTGGGGGGTGCGTAAGAAAGAAAGAACCATAATAAAAGGTAAATGGCATCCGAACTATGAAACAGGCACGCGTTCAGTGCTAGCATACTCGTGCCGGCATCTAGCGGCTGTTGGCGTTATTACATCACTGTAAACATGCTGCAAAGTTGAAGGTATGGCATCACTGATAAAGCAAGTAGCACTGTAAAGAAGGGGCGGTATGAATTTTCACTATATGAGACCCACAGATGTGTTACTTTTAAGTAGCCTGGTTGGTACGAGTTTGACAGCAGTTACAGCATGGGGACTATTGGTGCTACAAAACACAAATGAGGAAAGAAAACTTAAAGTGTTCTGCCCTCAGGTAAGAAATACATAAGAAGTGGAATTAGTCACAGTGTTACTTTTGCTCTGTTCCACTTCTGTGCTAAAACAGAAAGGTTCCTCCTGAGGCACACACTAAGTCTGGTATCAAAGGCACTGTTCTTTTGCTCCAAAGTTTACTTAGACAATAAATTACACTTTTGTAAGATGTTATTCACTAATAATACATGGCTAGAAACTTCAGTCAAACGTGATTGGAGAATAGAGTTGAATAGAAGTCAGCTAAGTTTCCCTAAAAGCCAGCAGCAAGATCTCTTTACACAGTAAACCACTAATTTAAGCGAACAGCCCGGTACACATCGTTCTGAATGCAAAAACTTCAAATCCACAGCAGTGCCAAGCAAGATGGCTGCAAAGTGGAACCACAGTGGTAAGATTAGAGCTGCGTTCTGCTATTTCCACTGAAAATTATGCAAGATTAAAAATAGTAATGAAAGTATTGTTTGTGTGTGTAGTGTTCACGCAGACTTGTGTTGTGGCTCTATAGCACATCTTCCATACAAGTTCTGTTGAGCCTACAGCATGTCATGCTTACAAACACCAAAACATTCAATGAGATCATCTCAAGGCCCCTTTGCTCATGCCCCCCCAGTGCCAAGCAGACAGCTCATGCATTGACTACAGAAATCTCAGCAGAAAATTGCCCTTCTTCAGGGGTCAGTGCCAGGGTGGAATCACAAGAGTGCTGTGCATGCAAACAAAAATATATAGTACTGATGGCCTGAGCTTGTGCTTTGTGTAAGAAGCCTCTATTGAGTGTGCTTTAAACCAAGTATCTTCACAGTACCTCCTAAATGCTGGTGATGGGCTACGATGTTTCAATTACCTGTTCGCAGTGAGAGGTCTAATCACCATGCCTGTGAATCCCCATTACTTCTGGCCCCCGCTGTGCCCAAGTCAGTGGGAGTCCCAGCAGCACAAATGTTTATCTCCGCACAATCTTCATCTTTGTCTTTGTTTTGCCTCATTTATAAAAACCTTACTTAAAAGTAAATGACATATAATCAGGAAAGGGAAATTAATCACACCGGAGCTGAGGTTCTGCCTCCCAGTTTAAAAGGAAACAAGAGAGACTGATCACAGGAAGACCCTACAGAGAGTGCATGTCAGCACATTAGTAATGAAATCCATGAAATCTTTTTGTCTCAAAAATAAAACGTATTCCCTGCCTGCTATTTCCTCTGTTCTGCTGAGAAGGAGTATGAATTGTAATTGAGCCTTTTCTGAGCCATTTTAGGATCATTTCTCCCTTCTAAAGGACACATTTATCCCAATTAAGCTATTAAAAGAAGTAATTTAAAAGACAAGCGAGTGAGAAGAGTTTTTATGAGTGAAGAGTAAGCCACATGCTGGGTGGGCCACAATTTGTCACTTCCAGTAAAGCCTTAGGAGCTGTTGTGCTTCACATGTATGCTTAGTAATAGAACTTTGGATTGATATTTCATAGAGGGCCTGGCTAGGGGCTCCTCTACCTGTCTGCTGAGAGGAAGGAGGGAACTGATAGAGCACCTGTAGTACTGGAAAAGTTTCTCAACTCAGTTCAAAAGCCACCTTTGCAGAAAATGAAAATGGACATTTCCTTTGTTAACTGACATGCTATGCTGCTGAACTTGAGAATAGAGAGAGAATTATGCCATTCTAATGTGGTTTTCCATCTTATTCTGTAATTGCATTTGGAAAGCTGCTGCTTGGGGAAAAGCCAGAGGACACAGAGAACAGGGATATGGCTGCTGCACCACCACATCCTTGTGCCATTTCTGCCTTCTCCATGCCCATTATTTAATGCTTTTCAAAACTGATGAGAAGAGTTCAAAATGGAAACCTCAGTGTTCCTGCCCTGCCAGCAAAACACAGCAAGCTGACCTGACAATTTCTTGATGTTTAGAATAAGATACTGCATATTTGCTGTAATTACTTCACTCTAGCCTGAAGATGTGACTCTTAGGAAGTGGTATATTTCTCAAGAAAGAGAAGACACTTGAAAAACTCCAATATCTAGCATTTCAGGTGCCTGCTTTGATTTGCTTGAGTCTTGGGGGTAGGAGCCTGCTTTTCCTGTTGCCTTATGGATAGTGAACTGAGTCTCAGGCTCACAAAGCATGTCTTACTCTGAAGGATATGTTTCTACATTTCTTCTTTGCCTGTTGGGACCACACGTACAAAAGACCTTTTGGTGCAACCTACTGATTATTCATAAATGCTAAATATGATATGTTATTAATAATTCAGAACTTTTTGCTTTGTTCTAAATTCTATAAAATAAGAACGAAAATTACTTCTGGGAAGCAATTAGCAAATTATTCCAGAGCACTGATAATTACTAATGTTTCTCAATGGAAGCTTTTTCTGCATAAAAATAGTTCTGCAGATATCCTGAAGATGGCATACCTAAGCCAGTTATGGACCTTCCAGTAGCAAAAAGGGAAAACAAAAAAGGCCCTTTAGGATTCATATTTTGATGTGGTCACTGGGAAGAAGTTTTTTTTCTTAAGACTTCCACATCAGCATCTTGCAAGGAAAGTGCTGTTTAACGGCTATGCAGAAATACTCAAAAAAGGAAGATGAGGAGACAAATATGAAAACCTTGAACAGATATTTGTGGATCTTTCTTTCAGATTAGTTTATGTACATTAGATAAGTTCTATTACTGTTTGTTTCAGAAAAGAGATAGTAACAATGTCTGGTAAGAAATGTCTACACTTTTTTCTATCTGTATTTGTTTGTATTTTGTGCAGCTCATTTCATTCCATTCAGTTTTCAAAAGGTCTTAGTTTCTAAAATCGTAGTGCATATAGGAGATCCATTCACACCACAAATGACCATTTATAATCACAAAAAGAGGACTTACCCTTGCAGCTGGCTTTGAATACCAACTTTCCTCATAAGCAATTTACATACTCCAAGATGTATTTTCAGTATTCAAATCTATACAGTTCATTAGAAATGAAGGTGCTTTGCACACTGCAGTAATTGATACTTCAGAGAAGAACAAAATCAGGGAGAGAATAGTTTCTTCCTCTTCCTTCAACATTTTTAAATGCCCACATAGTGGTTCAAGGAGACATTTGATAGTGTCAAGTCTTTAGTGTATTACTTTACAATAAGAGTGTCCTTGGGATTAGTATGAAATTTATTAACTTGGAATATGATGGCTGTTGCTCTCAGGATATTGTCCAAAAATGAAATCATGAAGAAACACAATTAAACAAGTAACTCTCCACAGACCTTGGGTCAAATTCTGCTGAAAATGATCTTGACGGTCTCCAAATTCATCTCATTTTCCTAGCCAGTTACCAAGCCCGTCCTTACAGGGAGCTGGGTTAGTAGAGCTGCTGCACATCAGCTGGGAGCTGCAACAGCTCAGCTCTGCAGGCAAGGCAAGCAGCACATTTGTAAGTTCTGAATTAGCTCCAAGGAACAGATAAAGGTAAAATGTCCAGGATTATAAGAAATGAGCATATTGTGAGAAAGAGAAGAAAAATATCAAGCATACCTATTTCTTCCAGAACTGTGCAGTGGTTGGACCTTCCTTCCTGATCTCTGTTAAA